AGAAAGTTACTTGTAGGGTTTGGTGTGATTAAGAAAATTAAATTAAATGTCATGATATATATATTTGGAAAATTGGTTGATTGATAAAGAGAAGTGTGTTAGGGAGTGAATGTGTGTGTTTTGTGTTGGAATTGAATTTTGGAAGGTTGGTTGAGAAAGTTATATATAGGGTTTTGGTGTGATTAAGAAAATTAAATAAAATGTCAAGATAAATATATTTGGGAATTGGTTGATTGAGAAAGATATAGGGTTTGGAGTGATGGAGATTAAATAGAATGTGAAGATGATATATATTTTGGGTGTGTTTGATGTTGGTGTAATGGAAACAATATAGAATATTATGCTTAATTTAGGTGTTTGTATGTTTATTATTCTCTCTTTTTGTTTCCCTCTTTTATTTTTCTTTCTGTTTTATTTTTGGATTTTTTTAGTCCCCTTTATTAATGTTGTGTTAATGGTATGGAATCAGCATATCTTGAGCTTTAACTTAACCACATAATTTTTTATGTTCTAGGAACAAGTTGGAAGTACATTAGTTGTTCCCAAATATGTAGACACAGTAATTAAAATTATTTATCAAGTGTATTCAACATAAAATAGAAATATACTCTCCATTTTGTTACATTTAGGAAAAAAATAAAAATAAAAATTTCATTGTATGTATCACTTTAGGAATTTTTAAGGGGAGGATACCTAAGAAGATGACTGAAGAACTATTTACCTTTTAAAACTTATACCCTCAATCACCCATTAAATCAACAATTGCTCATTTAGTAATTTAAAAAAAAAAATAACGTCCGTATACATTAAACAATTTAGTCACAAACACGTCCAGATACATTCAAAACACACCATAAATAATCATCTCATGGGAAAAATGATTTTTTTATTTTTTCAATTTTCGTTTTTCTCACCTAAATAGTTGCAAAATCAACCGATGGACTTTATCTTTGGCTAAAATACATGATATACATCATAGTTAGACTTAGCCCGTATTGGTAAGCTAGTACGTCACCAATGACGTATAAAAGATTGAAGGGCAAAACAGTAATTAATCCGCACTCGCTAGAACTTCGCCACCTAGAAGACTCGAGCTTTACCTCCAAAATCAGTATAAATTGGCCCATGCGATCAGCCCTAGTAGCACAAAAAACGCTTTCAGAAGAAATAGGTTGAAAAAATTCAATCTTGGAGAAAATGAAGGCGTGGAGTTATAGCCAGTACGGCGGCGTTGAGGTTCTGAAGCTTGTGTCTGACGTGGCGGTGCCGGAGGTTAAGGACGATGAGGTCTTGATTAAGGTTGTCGCCGCCGCCTTGAACCCGGTCGATTTCAAGAGGAGATTTGGATATTTCAAGGCTAATGATTCTCCTTTCCCGGTGAGCCCTCCACTTTCCTTTTTATTTCCCCGTAATTGATTTATTTCTTCTTTGTTTTTTAATTTCTTGGGCATGTGTTGCTGCTAGCCTGCTACTCGTGGATTAAAATATTGTCAAGTTCCAATTTTTAATTAAATTCACGGCCTGTTTGGGTTTTCTAGTGTTTCCTGATGTAGTTGCTGGTAAAACTTGTAGGAAATGTTTCGATTTAGTTTAGGAATTGGCCAAAAAATTGGATTTATTGACAGTATATTGGATGATGCTCAAATATCTGGTACCGGTAGTGATTTGGAAACATGTACAGAATGTTTCGATTTGGGTTAGAAATTGGCCGAAAAATATTAGCTTTTGAGCAAAACTCAAGTGGGTTGGATGAAAAAGACCAATCTTTTCATAACTCAATTTAGTTCTTATCTTGGATTCTTGAGTTGTTGCTCGAATGTGTATAGAAGTAATGTCACAGTCACTCGTGTTTCATGTATTCAAATTTTCTAAGTAGAAAATGAAGTGTCTTATCATTTGCATTTCTTTATCTTCTTTCCCCTGTAAATATTGAAGTGGCAATTGTGCTTTCTGCATTTTAATTTATTTATTTATTATTTGCAGACTATTCCCGGCTATGATGTAGCTGGCATTGTCGTTAAAGTAGGGAGCAATGTGAAGGAATTTAAAGAAGGAGACGAAGTTTATGGAGACATTATAGAGAAGGCAATTGCTGAGCCGAAACAGCTCGGCTCCTTAGCCGAGTACACAACTGCTCAAGAGAAGCTTTTAGCTCACAAGCCCAAGAATCTCGATTTTGTGCAAGCGGCTGCCTTGCCTCTTGCCCTAGAGACAGCTTATGAAGGGCTCGAAAAGTATGGTTTTTCTAAGGGCAAATCATTACTCGTGCTTGGTGGAGCCGGTGGTGTTGGGTCATTCATCATTCAAGTAAAGTTTAAATTAATAAAGATAAATCTTGAGTATCTCTTTGTGTTCATTATTCATTTATATTGATAATTCTAATGCTTCGAACGTATGAGAATTTAATCATTGATTTAATGCAGATTGCCAAGCACGTTTTTGGTGCGTCTAAGGTTGCAGCTACAACCAGCACGTCGAAGTTGGAATTTCTGAAAAGTTTGGGGGCCGATTTGGCAATTGACTACACTAAGGAGAAGTATGAGGACTTGCCTGATAAATTTGACTTTGTTTATGATGCTGTTGGTAAGATAACTTAACCTCACACTTATATGCTATAGCTTGAAATAAGATTTAGTTTTGTGATTGGGTTATTTTTCAGTTAGGCCAAAAGGTAATGACCATGGCCATTTTTTTTTTCTTCAATAAATTGTAGCCTTTTATTTATAAACACAATTTTGTCCGGTTTATAGGGGAAACTGAGAGGGCCTTGAAGGCAGCAAAAGAAGGAGGCACCGTTATCACGATAGCTGGTGCACCTACACCACAGGTTCCTTTGTTTATATTAACTTCCAATGGAGAGTACTTGAAGACACTTAAACCATATATCGAGAGTGGGAAGGTGAAGCCCGTGCTCGACCCAAAGGGCCCTTTCCCGTTCGAAAAGGTTAACGAGGCGTTTGCTTATCTGGAAACAGGTCGGGCCATTGGGAAGGTGGTCATATATCCAATTCCTTGAAAAGATGATAAGATTAGTTATGAGTTTATTGTGTTGTGGCTTTGAGTATTGGATTGAAATTATGGTATTTAGTGTGTGTTGGTAAGAGCGTGGTGTTATTATGAATAGTACATTATTGGCTATAATATAAATGGATGTTTTGACAATCGTTATTGTGAGTTTTGTAAAAGTTGCTAGCCTAATGTAGTTAGACACCAAATACGTATATTTTGAACTGAAATGTCATGCATCTAAAAAGCATCATGACATTTGTAGTAAGTATACATTTTTGTTAAAAGAGTAAGACAAGCTGACTGGTCTAACAGAATTTGTGTTTAAATATGGAGTATATTCAATATTTCAATCTAGAACTAATCATGCAAGCCTCAAATTTGTGATTAAATATGGAGTTTATGCAATATCTCAATCTACTCTACAAGAAATGAAATCACACAAGTTTGTGTTTCTTGTGTTGAAATATGGAGTATATTCAATATCCCAATCTACAACTAACTAACTATACAACAACATTTTTCAAATGAAAACAAAGCCATTAAAATTCACAATAGTATAACATTTTTCATTTGTTGCTCTTATTAGCTCAATGAAAAAGAAAGAACCATTAACAATAATACAACACACATTATAACTGCTTCTTAAAAAAACCAGAAGCACATAACCGTGACTCAGCTCTATAAAAATCCGAGCTCTCATCACAAACAATCAAATCACATGAACTCATTGTCACATAGAATGCTTCATAAAAAAAACCAGAAGCACCCTATGCAATATCTATACAAACAGGCAATTAGGTCACAAAAAACCTCAATCACCACACATGAACAAATTGCTCGGGCCCAAAGCCCGGCCCAATGGATGAGCCCGAGCCCGAGCCCGACCGTCTAGTCTCACCAAACGCGTGCAATATCCCGATCAACAAGCCCGCTTTCCTGCTGGGCCCACACGACCCGCCCGCAAGAACCGAGTACAATCCCGTCATAACCGACGAGTCCCTTACTAAAACCGGGACCACATCCGACCCGCCTTTGGTGCACAGAGCCAGCAGCACCGAAACGCAGCACTCTTTCGCGGACCTCGAGACGCAAAAATCGCCACACGACCCCAAAATCTTGATAATTACCGGCAGGCCCCCGGCACTAATAATCGCCTCTGCCCCTTCGGGCTTCTCGGCCAAAACTGCCAAAACCGACAGCAAATCCGCCACGTCATCCTCCTTGCCGCTTGCCTCGGTCAACACATTGACTAACGTTAGGCCCAATCCGGCCGATAAAAACCTCCGGTGACTCTCCGGGCCCGCCAGTAGGCCCAAGGCCGCCGCCAAACCATTCCTTCTCCACCGGCCCGACCTGGCCCGAATCAACCCCACGAGGCCCACGACAGAGCCCGAATTCCGGTTTATCATTTCCCGGCACCTCTCGTCCGACGAGAGGTAGAACAAAACCCCGGCCGCATGGGCCCGGGTTTCCATTTTCGCCCCTCGGTTCAATAAGTCGATTATTTTCTCCACTCCTCGATTTTCGACGATTGCTCTCTTACCCTCGACGAGCTTCGAGAGATTCAATAGTGCCGCCGCTGCATTCTCCTGATTTTCTTCGTGATGAGTCGAATCCAAGAGGCCCGGGATTGCGTCGGATTCGACCAGACGAGACCTGCAAAAAACGCTCGTCTTTGTCAAGAGTCGAATCTCGCGGCACGCCTTTCCCCGCGATTTTTCGTCTCTTAATTTTCCGGCGAGAAAACGGGCGACGATCCCCGCCGCCCGCTCAGCCGCGGGGCTTCCCGAGGCGAAATCTAGCGGCTTCGCCGAATTCCGAAAACGCCCTCCGGGGAACGGTAGCCCGTTTTCTTGGCACCACTGCGCGATCAGCCGCTTCACGGCGAGGTTCGGGACGAGTTCAGCCGAAACGAGCCGCTCCCCGGTTTTGGGACACGTGCGGTTGCCGGAGTTGAGCCATTTGGCGATCGATTTTCGGTCGTACGTGTGCCCGGTCGAGATCGTAACCGGATCGCCCATGATTTCTAAAGAAATCGGGCACGTGAAGTCGTCGAGATTCGAAAAACCCGTGACCCGAAAATCGAATCTCCGCGCCGCAACACTACTTTCGGAAAAACCTCCCAAATTATTTTCGAAAGCAATGCACCGGCAACAAATCAAGAACGCGATCAAATCGCATATGAATCGGGCCTCGTCCTTTTTCCCGCCAAATTCCGGGCCCGTTAGGCTTTCCAAGAGCCTGATTTCGTTGTCACACTCGGCCCACGTCCCGATTCCCAAATAATCAAGAACCCGTTTCAGATAATTAGATTCCGGGGCAACCCCTGATTCGAAATACCCGATACTTTGCAAAACCCGGCTCGCGGCCCGTTTATCTTCGTCTTCCACCTCGAAGCCTGCGATCCGGGCCCGGTGCCTCACGAGCTCGGCCAGCTCACGACCTTCATCGGGAATTTCGAGTGCCGATAAAGGCAGAACATCCAAAGCCACGGCAATATTTCGAACGAGGTTGTGAAAGTGAAACGAGACTTTTTCGGACTGCATTAACATCCATAGCCTCGAATTTTCGCGGCTGCAGTCTTGTAACAAGAAATCGAGTTTCTGCAGAGTGAAATGAAGTTCGGATAGAGATAACAGAACAGAGGACTCTGTAAAGGTGGGATCTTTTTTGTCCTGTCGAATATCTTCGAAAAATAGGAGGAGATTTTGTACTATGCGAATCGAGGTTCTTGCGTTTTTTCGGTTTGTGAAGATGGGTTTCGACGTGAAGCTGCATATCGAGCGGCTTAGGCCGATTAAAGAGGTGAGAAGGGTGTGAAAGGATACCGATTCACCGGGACAAGTCGCCGGAAAATTAAGAATCCGGCGGCTGCATGATTCGGTGGGTTTGTTTATCATTGATCAACCAAAAAAAAAATGATTTTGAGACCAAAAGAGGATGAAAAAGTTTGAAGATGGTTTTTCACAAGAAAATTAACAAAATAAATAAAAAAGAATAAAGAATTTAGCCAAGAAGTGGAACTATACAAGAATAAAGAGAACAAATGTATTTACTAAACTTTTTTGAGGAATTTGGAAATTTTTGGTGTTGTTTGTGACAAATTGATGCCTTTAGTTCGGAAGTTTGGTTCTATATAATGTTGAGATTGAGTGTGGAGCGTTGACTAAACGTTGGGGGTTGTGGGGCGACACGTGGCGTTATGAGATGTGGGGAGTGATGGATTGGATCTTACATAAATTCGAGGGCTTCGTGGAAATTCGTTGTTGCCAATGGGATGATGACACGTGGTGGCGTGTGATGAATTTTATTGGCGTAGCTCGTGAGGGGTTGCATGAAGGATCGTGCGGCCGACATGCAGTGTTGGGCATGTACTTTAGAATAATAAAAGGAAGTATTATATGCATTTATTAGTTTAATATTTCTATTGTATAATTTATTGTTCTTGCGAAGGAGTTCTATAATTTATTTATCATTTTAAATTATTCTTCCAATTATATTTGTATGAAAGATCTTCAAAATATCATTAAGTGTTTTGATTATAATCTATCATCATTCTATAAGTTTATGATGTTTGGTTGGTTAGTTTTTCAAACTCCAATGGTGATTGATGTGTAAATTAAGTAATAGAATCGTGACACGTGTTATTGTATAAAGTTTATGTCATTCTTTATCGTATTCGATACGAACTTGAATTGCAATACTATTACCAATTGTTAAGTGGTAAAAACAAGTTGATACCCTAAAATTGATTTTATTTTTTACTCAGTTCTGAGGTTATATATAGTTTGTTTGCTTCTAACAATTCATGTAGCGAACTGTTTTTAAAGGGGGATCTTCATTTATACTTTTTGACTCTAATAATTTGTAAAAAAAAAGGGTAAGACCATGATATATCTACATGCATGTAGCGAACTGTTTTTAAATTATAACTAAAGGAAACCATAAATATGACTTACTGTTGACAAAATAAATAAAATAAAATCGAACCATTATTTTACATGCATGTTCAGAAATAATTGTTGCCAAGTGCCAACGCGGTAGCAATAAATGTTGGTGTGTGACTGTGTGTTGAGGAATATGTGAATTATTGATATTTTTTAAATTTTAATTTGGTGCAGTTTCAATATGGGCTGGAGTGATGGGAATTGTGCAGGGAAAATAACCACACAAACACATATAATTATTAAAAAATATATTTATTTAGAGTTTATAAGGGTTCAATGTCCACGACTTCAAAAAAATATTATATGTATGAAATAAAATATATAATATGAATAGGTATCCAAATTATTCACTTTAAAATACAAATTTCATTTTGCCCATTACTCGGAGTTTGATTAGTTAGAAGATGTGATCTCTTTAACTTAGATATTAGGATGTAGAGCTGAGCAGCTCGTTTTAGGTATGTGCCAATGTTACCATCATAAAGATACGTGATATATATAAAAAAAATGGTTCAATTTATAATTTGTGAAATTGGTGATTTTTTCTTAAACTAAAAATTGATATGTTTGCATCTTTCGCTCACGCATGATGCCATGTCAGCATTACGATGCTTCCTTTTACAATGAAAAGTCAAAATCATGCCGATTGTCAAATTGAAAATGTTAAGTATTTTTTTGTGATTAGGCGTTAAACTAATCAGGCTAAATTAGCCATGCTCAGTACAGGCCTGTACATTAGGCCCATGAGGTAATTTTCTCTTATTCAAAACTATCTAAAATGTACATTTAAACGGCCCAAAGTAATTGGGCCTAATAGGGAAGGATTGATTGAATGAGCGATAAAATATTTTTATTTCAAAAAAAAAAGAGAGAGAGAGAAAAAACGTGTGAAAAGAGCACGAAAATTTGGAGAACACGAACTGTATTTGTATCCTCCACGCCTCCGGCGATCAGTCCACGGTCCATCGCCGGTCGGAACTCCGAAGACGCTATCCGGCGCCGGAAATACGGAGTTGGTGTCTCGTCCCAGTCCCCAAAAGCGGTAAGTACCTACTTCCTAATCTTCTAATCCTAATTTACCCAAACAGTAAAATCCTAAAATTCCTTGTGAAATATTTTTTCGCTCAAAGTTGGAAAACTACGCTTGTGAGGCTAAATAATTGATGGGCTCTTATTAGTTGTTGTTTAACGGCAGATTTGATGATCTCGACCGCAGGATGAAATTTTTTTTTTTTTTAACTGATTTTGTGAAATATGTGAAGGGTTTTTAAGTTCTGTGTGGTTTGTGCAAACGCTGAGGTTATGGATTGATTGTTTTTATTGATTTTTGCTGTTTTTGACTATAATGTGTGACTGTTCCGATAATAGTATAAATTATTTTTCTTGTTTATGAGAGTTTTATCCTACATATCTTAGAATCAAGCTCAAGTAAGAACCATGGGTGGGTTTTCAAGAACTTAGATAATGCCTATGCGAGCAAAGATGGTAGATAGAATTTTGCTCCATTTAATCTGTTTCAAAGTTTTGAAACTTAAATAAGCTCCTTTAATTGAACTTATCTATTTAATGATTATATGAGATGCAAAATGAATTTGTAAAATTAGGAGTCAAGCTAGTAAATTAGAATGTTAGTAATGGTTAAATAAGTGGTTGGCTTTGCCGTGATAGCTGTGTAATGGCAGGACTGTTAACTGCTATGCTTTTGGCTAGTTTATCTTTCAATCATAACTACCTTGATATATATCTTGTAATTTTTGTATGAGCCATTTGTCTCTGTTGACTGTTGTTGAGTTTTACTATTTACTAGGTGGAATTTTTATTGTATGAAGAACATGTCTCATACGATTAAAGATCGATAAAATGAAACCCCACCTATCCGTTAATAGTTCAAACTGAAAAATGTATCAATTAGATAATAGTTTTGATGTACTGTTTTCTTTTATTTTTCAACCTCAGTTTAGTGAGTCCAAAAGCAGGGTGACACCAAACCTTAATTCAATTCCCACACACACACTCTGAGGTGGTTAGCCCAAAGTGTCTAGCCCCCAGTGTCCTGGTAATTTATCGACTTTTTTTTTTACACAAATATTTTTTTTTCCCCCTTCTTTTTAATTTGTGAAATGAAGCTTTTCTTTGATTTTCTTTTATCTAGCTCTGGTACTGCACTTTACCAATAGAATATATGATTGTCTACTATAGGTTTAATGTACTATCTTTCTCTTAAACCCTTTCTTTTCCTTGTTCAGATAAAATCGGTAATTTTTATCTGTGCTTGTTAATATTGTGCTGCTAATCTATTGCTAATTAAGAATATATATTGAAAGTTGGATGGGAAATTTTTGAATTTATTTTCCTTTCTGCTGCCTGGTATTAGTAAACAATAATTTTTTTAGATGAGTAAAAAAGAAGCACCTCAAGAGTCAAGTTAAAAAATGAGGCCGGCCCTTTTATGTTTCTTGAAAATTATCTATATAACCATAATAAAATCCTGGAAGAGATTTAAATTTAACCAAGAACCTTTCAATTTGATTTTTCTGGGAAATTCTCTTTAAAAGCACCACCCCCCTGAATTCTTTTTTGTGGAGGTCTTATTAATTGATTTTACCCCTTTCTTTTTCTTGAAGCTTTACTTTCATAAACACCTTAAATTCCTCGAATGGTTTCGGTAAAACTAAATCATCGTGACAAGTAAAATTTTCTCATCGAAGGAGTTTGAGAATTTTGCCTTTTCTCATTTTTCATTGCAATTTGAATAATCAATCAGGTACAAATACTATCATGTTTTCTCTGTTAATCTTCTGAACGATCTTTTCAGTTCATAATTGTATTGTTATATTGTTGCTATCAGGTTCGACTGGTTTTTTTTAGCATAACACGCTTTTTCTTCTTCTTCCGAGCTTCTCGATGGAAAAACGACACATCAACCGAGCTTCTCGAATACTCGAACGCTTTTGCACTTTCCTCCGCAGATTCATATTCTCGATTCTCTCCGTGGGCCCCACACCCCAACACATCGCCTTCATCATGGACGGTAACCGAAGGTACGCCAGGTGGCGAAATCTCAAAGTAGCATCGGGCCATCGGGCCGGATTCTCAGCCCTCATGAAAATGCTACAATACTGTTACGAGCTGAACGTGAAGCACGTGACCATTTACGCCTTCAGCATCGACAACTTCAAAAGGCGGCCGGACGAGGTACAATCCACGATGCAGCTGATACAAGAGAAAATCGAGGGTTTGACCGAAGAAGAAAGCTTAGTCAACCGGCACGGAGTGCGGGTCAACTTTGTCGGGAATCTCGAGCTCCTTAGCGAGCCCGTGAAGTTGGCCGCCGAACGGGCCATGCGGGCCACCGAACGAAACTCGCGGGCCGTGCTCTCGATTTGCATAGCTTACACGTCCACGGATGAGATTGTGCGTTCGGTCGAGAAAGTTTGTATCGAGAAAAAACGAGCCGGGAAGTGTCGTGAGGTTGTTGACGTGGCGGATGTTGATAGGGGGATGTATATGGCGGGTGCTCCCGATGTGGACGTTTTGGTCCGGTCATCGGGCGAGACTCGGCTGAGCAATTTTCTCCTGTGGCAGAGCGCGTGTGCCTTACTGTACTCCCCACGGGCGCTCTGGCCAGAAATCGGGTTCCGGCATCTGGTGAGGGTGGTTTTGGATTTCCAGAGGAATTTTGCGTATTTGGAGAAGAAACGAAAACGACGTTAGGTTTTCTGGAGGGATATAAAAATTATGATTTAGAATGTATGGATGTGTAATTGAAACGATGTACGTGGAATTTTTACGGACACATCAGATTTTGGATGGACGGTGTTTCAAATTGGTGCACCATTTTGCAAAGATAAGATGGTTATTGGATACGCCAAAGTTGTGTATAATTTTTCTGTGCGTGATGGAGAGACTGAGTTTGGTGGTGGGGAAATTTTCAGTGACCAATTTCTATATTTCCCATGTTGGATTGTTTCTGATTGAGTTTGGTACATTATTATTCCAATTAGTTAGAGACGAACGAGTTGCTCGTGAGTTCAACTCAACTCGTTAAGCTAAAGCAACTCCACTAAGGTTGTTAAGACTTGAAAATCAAATTTTTTACGTAATTTTTTGAACTTTCAACATAATACATCTTGTTAACGAGTCAAGCTCAAGCTCGTTTATTTGCACAAGGACTTAATGAACCAAGCTTGAATTTGCTCGATAAGGGCTCGAGCTCAAATTCGACAAATTATTACATAAATAAGCCAAACAAAATCATATAGAGCAAGAGAAAAGTGCATTTTTCGTCCTGTAAGTTTACCCCTCTGGACAATTTAGTCCTCTTCGAATAGCTATTTTGATTTTCGTCCTCTAACTTTTAAAAAAGGTTGCACATTCGTCCCCGACTCGCCGGAAACCCGTTAATTGCCCGGAAACACCCACGTGATGGAAATTAACAGCTCTTTCGGCCTACGTGGAGCCGGATTTCACACGCGGACATCTTCAGTTACACGTGGCGGCCGAAATCAAAAGACAAAAAAAAAATTTCCACGTGTGTACACACGTGGAAATGGAGGGAAAAATAGATGAAAAGCAGGAACATGAACAGTCACTTCACTTCTCCCCACAATCGCGTTCCCAAATTCTCTGTGAAGAAAAAATCCCTCCATCTACATCGTTCTCAAATTCTTTCTGAAATTCTGAAGGTAAAAAAATCGAAAGCTCAAAATCAAGTATTGAGAAGCAAGAATCCAAATGATTCCTGAGAAGGTGTTCATCCGGAAGAAGATTCGTATGCACAATGGACCTCCCACATACGGTCAGTGATATTATCTTTCTTTGTTTATGAAAAAAATTCGTGCAATGTAATGTTGCAGAGTATTTCGTACAATTAAAATGAAATGAGGATCTAAATTCCGTACATTATAATGAAATTAGGGTTCTTTGCAAATCGTAATTTTGTTTGCAAGCCGTAATTTCGAAAACGAATTAGAGTTCTTTTGCAAACCCTAATTTTGTTTGCAAGCCGTAATCTGAATATAAATTAGGGTTTTTTTGTAAACCTTAATTTTGAAGACAAATTAGGGTTTTTTTCTAACCCTAATTTAGGTGACTGTAATGTGGTTAAAACCCCTAATTTCATTCAAAATACAGTTATACATTCTTCAATTGCTTATTGTTGTGGTTATCTGAAAATCCCTAATATCTATATGTTTGTTGTTGTTTGGTTGACTTGGGTTTGGTTCCATAGAAAGTAGAGATCACTTAACTATCCAACTTTGGTGTGGAGGTCAATTTTTGCATACTCCAATTGACCATTATCTTGGGGGTTCTAGTATGATTTTTGACTGGTTAGAGAAGTCAAAACTGTGTCTGGATACATTGGGTTGTCTTAGTGATCTATTTGGTTGTGTAGGAAATAGAAGGTATTATTTCAACTCGGGTGCTACATTTAACTTACTGAAAGATGATGCAACTTTATGTAACTGGGCTAAATGTTTCTATACTAATACATTGACGGACATTCACATTGATCTAATGGATGAAGGTCAATTTGTGCCTACTTCTAAGTATGATGAAGGTGGTTGGGTAGAATTGGAGAAAAATAATGAGAGTGAAGCAGAGAGCAGTGAAACAAGTGAGAGTGAAAAGACAGATAATGAGGGTTGTGAAAAAAATGAAGGCAAGGGTGCTGAGGTACCTGATAGGGGTGATGATGGGTGTGATAGTGATGGGGGTGATAGTGATGGGGGTGATGAGGGTAGTGAAACTATAGACAGTGACTTTGATCTTAGATCAGAAAGTAGTTGTGGGAGGGATGATGCAGACTTTGATCACAATGTAGACAAATCTGTGGAGTCTGAAATTGAATCTGAGTCTGATAGTGGGGAAGAAGATTTAATTGAAACTCCACTTGATTTTGATGAGTTTTGTTCAGATACTGAAACAGTTGAAAAGAGAGAAATTTTATTTAATCCTAGCAATATCTATGATCCAACATTTGCACTAGGAATGGTCTTTGGTACTAGAGCAGAGTTTAAGAAAGTTGTACAGTCACATGCTATTAAGTCCAAAAGAAGTGTGAAGTTGAAAAAAAATGATAAGATTAGGGTCCATGCAGTATGTGATTCAGAGGAGTGTGTCAGTGGAAAATTCATGCCCTGAAGATTCCTGACCAGGAAGCCTTCAAGATAACCACTTACAACCCCACTCATACATGCCCTATATCTTTTCATCTTAAGAATATTAAAAGTAAGTGGTTGTCTGAGAGGTACTTGAGCAAGTTTCAATCTGATCCCTCAAGAAAAGTAAAGGGATTTAAAAGGGAAGTGGTTCATGAGTTGGGGGTTGGGATTTCTAGGCACCAGGCTTATAGGGCTAAGAAGAGAGCTCTAGAGGTACTTGAGGGAAATCCAGATTCACAGTATGAAAAGTTGTGGGATTATGCCCAACAACTGAGGGATACAAATCCTGGTTCAACTGTGATTCTAGATGTTTTAGAAGATGATGGTGTTCCTAGGTTCTCCAAATTCTATGTTTGTTTTGCTGCACTGAAGGAAGGTTTTAGGAGTGGTCTTAGGCCAATAATAGGAGTTGATGGCTGTCATTTGTCTGGACCCCACAAGGGTATTCTTCTGACTGCTGTAGGTGTTGATCCTAACAACAACATATATCCCTTAGCTTATGTTGTGGTTGGTAAAGAAGCTAGGGATACTTGGGAGTGGTTTCTGATTGCATTGAAACATGATCTTGGCATTGTGCATGACAGTGATTGTACTTTCATTAGTGATAAACAGAAAGGGTTGATTGTGGCTTTTCAGAATGTTTTTCCTGACTCAACACATAGATTTTGTGTTAGACATCTGCACAATAACTTTAAAAATGCTGGTTACAGAGGGGCTGCATTTAAAAATGCTTTGTGGGCTGCTGCACAGGCAGCTACTGTGGGTGAGTTCCATTTTAGAATGAGACAAATGAGAGAAATATGTGTAGAAGCTGCTGACTGGTTCAATGACAAGAACCCTGCACATTGGTCAAAATCACAGTTTGAGGAAAAACCAAAGTGTGACATATTGTTGAATAACTTGTGTGAGAGTTTTAATGCATGCATTGTTGATGCTGGAGAGGAACCCATAGTGACTATGCTTGAATGGATCAGAATGTACTTAGTGAAAAGGCTTCAAAGAAACAGGGATAGGGCAGAGTTGAGATGGAAAGGCAAAGTGTGTCCAAAGATCATTAAGGCAGTGGAGGCTAATATGGCAAAGTTAGGTGACTGCATGCCTATGAAAAGTGACAACACTCACTATCAAATAGAGTGTTATGGTGGAGGTCAGTATGTGGTAGACTTGGAAAAGAAAACTTGCACATGTAGGTTGTGGGACTTGAGTGGGATACCATGCAAGCATGCATGTAGTGCAATTGTATCTCAAAAGGGCAATGCAGTTGATTATGTGCATGACTTCTACAGTGTGGAAACATATAAAAGAGTTTACAAACCAGCCATCCTATTAACTGTCAGATGCTGTGGAACCAAACCCATTTCATTCCACCTTTGCCTCCCACATTTGGGAGAGGTGCAGGTAGACCTAAGAAAGCAAGGAGGATTGATCCTGATGAGAAAGGAGAGAAAAGACAGAAAATGAAGGCAAAGATTCAAATGAAGATGAAGAGGCAGCAGACAAGTTTGAAATGTGGAAAATGTGGCAATGTGGGTCACAATGCCAGATCTTGTGGCAAGAAAAACCTTTCTGATGCCAAGAAGGATCAGAGCCCACTAGCTAAAGCAAGCCGGACAATTGTAAGCAAAATTACAGCTTTTATGTAAAATATGTTTTAATTTTTAATTTTTTCAGTTTTGTTATTTATTGTTACAAATTAAGAGGGCTTATTTATGTTTCCATACTTTTGCAGTCGCAAATTAAGAGGGCTAATGCTGCAAGACAGGAGAAAGCAGCTAAGGCTATTGCAAAAAAGGCCAAAGAAAATGAAAGGGAAGCAAAGAAACAGAAACAAAGTTTAAGCATTGATAAGCAGGTGGTACTTTATTCATTTTTCTTTTTATTTCATTTAATTACATTATTAACAAATGTGTCTGATTAATAACTTTTCTTGAACAGAAAAAACAAGGCTCCACCTCCACCATAGAGAAAGAGGTATTACTAACTTTGTTTATTTTTCTTTGTAATTCATTTATGTTGTGGTCACTGTCTAAAAAATGGTGCCATGACTGTGTTTTTTCTTCAACAGAAAGAAGGGCCAAGCATGGCACCACCTGCTCCATTTGTAGAAGAAACTGACTGGGATGATGAAGGCTTTGTGTCACAATTGACACAAGAGTTTTGTGCAACTCCACAGCCTGAGATGACAAAGGGACCTACACCCCTTGAACAACTGAAAATGGGATTAGGAGATGATTCATACTTTAGAGGTAAGCAGTTGGAGGCCATCAATGCAAGAGATGGAACTCCAGCAATGTTTGAAAGGATTCAAAATGACCTCTCTTTTGGTAGCTCATCTCAGAAGTTGAAGCAGATCAAAAAGGAGAAGGGAGAAAATTCTAGAAAGAATTGAATTTCAGTTGATTTGATAGGAAACTGAATTTATTTGATTTGGTTGTAAAACATTTGCAGAATTTAGTTGAATTTCAGTTAATTTTGTTTTGGTGTTAATTTTGTTTTGCTTGGTGGTTGTAAAACAGTTGTGGTTATGATCAGTTATGATTATTGTTCTACTTTTGAATTTGTTTGTGTTGAGTTGTGATGGTTGTGATCAGTTATGCATTGCCTTTGAGTCATATCAGTTGAGTTTAGTTGACAATGAAATGGTTGAGTTGTGCAGTTGAGTTTTGACAATGAAATGCTGGGCAAGCTGTTGTCTTCCATTATCCTCCTTCTCTGTTTCTCTCTGTTGTGCCTTACAAGAAAGTTGTGACAGATGAATATATAATCTCTTGTGACAGATGAATAGGTGGATAATACTTACACATATCAAGGGGTGCATTTTTTTTTTTTTTTTAATTTATATGTTCCAACAATTTGTAGTTAACCTTAAAAAAGTAGAACAAGTGCACACTAAAGAAATACAAGAGATACACTAAAGAAATACAAGTAGAACAAGTGCACACTAAAGAAATACAAGTGCAAACTAAAGAAAATTTCATTTCATTGAAACCACAAGTGCATTACATAGATGTTCCGAAATGAGGTACACACAAAATACAAGAGTACATAGAAGATTACAGGAGAAAATAAACACATTACACAACCTTCTTTAATCTATATCCTTCACCTAATTTTATATAGCAAAAATACACACAACAAAGCTGCTATAGCCAATGCAAACCCCATTTTCATCTCCATTTTTTCTTTCTTTTCAACCAACCTCTTGTTCAATGCTTGCAATTTTTCAACCTTTTTCTGCAATTTTTCAACCTTCTCCTCCAGTTTTTCAACTTTCTCCTCCAATTTGGTATTCTCAAATTTGAAGTTTTCATTTGCTCTCTCTATTCCCTTCATCTTCTTCAATAACCCAGGCATGATTTTTTCAGGCCGATCACAGGTAGGAGGGTCGACCCAATAGAAAAATTTACACCCTCCATTCTGTACATTACCAAAAAAAAAAAAAAAGGTTAACAGACCACAAAGAATCAGAAGGGTTGATTTTTCTGCACCAACATTAACAAGGTTAAAACAATGTATAATACAGCCATGAAACAATCAAACACCCTTCACACAGCCATGAAAAAACCCGCAAGAATCAGAACACAATCAAACACAGAAGCAATTCTACCAAAAATATCATATATCATATAAACACCCTTCATGATTCACGGCGAAACACACATACAATTCTGCCCTAAATATCATATAATGCGTCGTTAACAGACCACCGTACCTTGTACTCGAGGCAAGAATGAAATCTCCTACCCGGGTTGTCGGCCGTCCATGATGTGCGAATAACAGCCATTTTTCTGCACCAACATTCCAAGAAACCGGTATAATGCGACGACTCAGACATGTTGAAGGTGAACGAAATCGACAATTTTGAAGAACGAAATCAACAATTTTTAATATTAGGGTTCTTGAAGATTTGGGGATCTTGAGATTTGGGAAATTAGGGTTGAAGGAAGATGAAAATCGTTCAAAAACAGTAGGCCCGAAATATTTTAACAACGTTCCATTCCACGTGTGTACACACGTGGAAAATTTTTTTTTTTTTCTTTTGATTTCGGCCGCCACGTGTAACTGAAGATGTCCGCGTGTGAAATCCGGCTCCACGTAGGCCGAAAGAGCCGTTAATTTCCATCACGTGCGGGTCACGTGCGTGTTTCCGGGCAATTAACGGGTTTCCGGCGAGTCGGGGACGAATGTGCAACCTTTTTTACAAGTTAGAGGACGAAAATCAAAATGGCTATTCGAAGAGGACTAAATTGTCCAGAGGGGTAAACTTACAGGACGAAAAATGCGTTTATCTCTAAAACCTATAAAACATGTGAAATATGCATAAACAATAGCCTCTTGTAAACATTTATAGGTAAAGAGAAATCAAGAAACATAAATAACGATAATTGCATTAAGTTCAGGTGCAACTGACATAATATAAAACTCTATGTAATATAACCCTATGAACACACAAAATAATCAACCTAGAAAACAATTAAGAAAATGACAGAAATATTACATAACTAAGTTAATGAGATAATTATTCAAGAATTAGTACAAGTTAACAAACTAAGATAGATGTTACACGTGATTGCAACATGATGAAACTATTTACAACTAGCAAGCATTGACTTGTTATACAAACAACTGCTCAATTGGGAACTTTAACGCTCGAGTATTTTTACTACTAAATTGAGTTCAAGCTCATGATTAGTCATTTATTTGACCGCAAGCTGTTTGTTATGCTCGAATTTGCTGGCCTAGTCTTCGCAAGACAGCTTAGTTCACCAACGAACGAGAATGTTGTTGGCTCGGGACAGAGTTTTCTCGTCCGGTAAAGGGGCTCGTGACAAAACCTCATACATGACTTCACAATGAAAAAATTAACAAAAGAGCAGCAATTAGTAATGTATCAAGAAAAATAAAGGAACTAAGGGGACTGAAACACTAGCTTTTACCGCGCGCACATAGAAGCAGAATCAACAAATAATTGAAATCCCACAATTCAAGAAGTCGATTAAAAACAAGCTAAGAAGGACAAACCATCTCTACAATAAGCAAAGACCTCTGCAACACATATTAAAATAGATTGTCACTTTGGACCACATGATGCAACATTCTCAATTTTCTTACAGATTCAACTACTCAAAAGCTACAGCACTTATAGGTCAAACTAAGAAAATTAAGACTAAAATTATATAATAATTCTTGGACATAGTTGAAGTCGCCGGTTTGAAAGCCCTGCAAGAAGCACAAAATAAAAAGCACTTAAGAGAAACAATCAAGCTAAAATTGCAGGAGCATATGGCAAACATCAACACATAAGTNAAAAAAAAGAGAAAGAAAAACTAAGCTACAAATTGAACACACAGCAAGACACTTGAGCAAGACATTCAGTCTGACATTCCACATAATAAGACCTTAATTAAATTCAATGAAATAAATTTATCTATCCAGTTGAACTACAGTTAGCCAGCTACAAAGTATAGTATGGAATCCCATCCAAATGCACACACTCACCAGCAAAATAAATTATCCCACAATCAAAAACAAAAATAAATTCTAAGGCTATACCTGAGTAACATCTCAAGGAAGTAGAAACCTCTCAAGGTTTGTCACACCCAAGCGACACCTTCGTTTTGTGGCATTGTTTGGGTCCGGGAAGGCCAGCCGTTCGTCGTGGTAAAACCAATATATGGCACTAAGTTTACGCCGAAGATTAGGCAAGGTTAGCGTCTTCATCTCTTCAAACCCATCACGATTTGCAGGCAGCAGTCCTTGAGGGGGCATAGAACCCACTGGATAGCTCCCCACAGTAATGTTGACCCCTTGGACGGGTGGTGGCTGCGCAAATGGATGCCCGGGGAACAATTTTGGCAAGCCCGCAAATGGTTCATCGAGCTCATGTGCCCTGATGTATTGATTTCGACTCCTCGCAGACATGAGTTGAATCAATGTTTCCATCCTCTGATTGGCCAAATTCTGGCTCTCCTGGATAGTCTGAAGCATCTGTACCAAACCCGGGTGGAGTGGAGCCATTGCATTTGCTCTGGTGAGGACCTGATGGTACCTCAGTTCCCTCTCTGCAGCATCAAAGTCATCCATATGTGGAACCTTATTTATCAAGGTTCTCCTCCTCCTATCTTCGGCCGCGATTTGGCCGTGATTTGGGATAACTCCATCGGGCAGAGGCTCCACGTCTATCGCCGTTATGGTAAATCCTGCATTTTGCACTCCCAGATTCAAGTTTGCATTTTGAACGATATAATCTCCTAGCCCCGGTAAACCAGCCATCGTGATTGTGATTGGAGATGGGATTTGATAGGGACGAAGAGTTAGGGTTTTCAGGTGTTTTAGGAGATGGTGAAGTGTTATTCTGAGCCCCCGATTGCAGTGAAGGAGAGACTTTGGACTGGGCCTGATTTAATCAATAAATGGGTCAAGATTGGGGAGTTGGTTTGTATTTTGTTACATCTTTTAAGGCCCCAAACCATATCAAGCCGAAATTCAGTTAAAAACACAAATGAAAAAATTATGCTCTTCAAGTACATATTTCTTAGTATTTACGTGGTTATGAAGTTTTTAATTTTAATTGATGTATTTCTTTTTTATGATTCTTTATGAATGATTTATGTACGATTTTATTTTGAATTACGTACTTTTGTAAAAAATTTCAAAAAATGTAGTAAATGTATAAAAGAGAAAAAAAAAACAAAAATCAAATGACTAGTAATTTGATTCATATTTGTATTTTTATACTTATATTGATTCATAATATCTTATCCACTGCGGATCTACATATAGGCCAGCCTAGGCTGGATTTTTGGTGCTAACTACACAATTTATATAGTTAACATGTGTTAATTAAAAATTTATATTTAATCTTTGTAAAAAATATAAATACAAGTTTTTATTTTAAAATTTTAAATAATACTTACAAAATGATATTATTTTTTATTTAAGATGATACACCTCATCTGTCAGATTCGACAGTCTTATATTACAATATTTTTAGTACTTATAACATATAGTAGACTTGACAGGTAAATTTATTAATTTTCAATTATAATTGATAAATATTTAAATTTTTATAAGTAGAGATCAAATAGATATAATTATTTTAATTTATATATACGATATGAATGTCAAATTATAGATCATCAAAACATGACTAATTTAATTTATTATACATAAAAAATGATAATAAATATAAATGTTATTAACTTTTAAAATATATTTGTAATTTAAGTTAGCCAAATGTTCAAATTTGAAGGTTCTAGATAAAGGTCTTGAATCCTTAAAAATTAACATAGAATTACAAAGTGTTGGTAGTTGAAAATGAAAAACTTTATTAATAAGATAATCAATAAGGAACTCTTTATAAAATATCAGAAACAAAAATGATGACATTTAGGTTTTTTTTTATATTAATAAATCTATTATTATATAATACAGTTAAGAAAAAAATCCGAAAGTGAAAAGTCATTTTCCCGCTTTTTTTTTTATTATTATTTTTACCCTTTTCCAAATTTATTTTTGAATTTTTTTCATAAGTCCAGCCCAAGTTTTCAATTGATTTTGCGGCTGAATTTAGGTGCTCCGAATTATATGGTGCTGAACTTTAGGTGCTCCGATTTAACTTTTTAAGTGGATAAATTGAACTAACAAATCTGATTTGCGGCTAAATTTTATGAATAGGATGATTCCAAATAATCTTTAATATTCGTACATAAATCTACCAAATGATTTTAATAATTTTATTAATTTTTCGAATTAATCATTTCTAACATGATTCAAATCGGCAACTCAAATTAACAAATTTTGTTCAGCAATATCGACCAAGGCATGTTTTTAATTATTAGAATTTCAAATCGTTGATATTTCACATATATGAAATAATGTACAATAGTTGGAGAATAATAAAAATCACAATCATACAATTGATTAAGCTCAAATAGGAAATATATCAAACAATAGAATTCTATCTACTATTAAGAATACAACTAGATTCTATCTTTACAAGCATATTTTTTAATACAATAAATCACATCATATTTGGAATTAAAATATAACGATTTAAATTAATTGGACACATTAATAATTTAGAATAAAATAAAAAGATTTCTGAATAATTAGTTGCAAAATACGTCCATCAAAAAAAGTGAATTCATTACAAGATAGTTGAAAAAAATCCTATATAACATAAATACTTTATATGATTTGTTGTACAGAAAATTCAGAATCCGAGGGTAAATGGTCGGCACATTGCTACATGATGGATAACAATGGGAGACAATTGCAAGAAGTTAGCAAAAAAATGTCTACAGTCATAAAACATGGAATAATTGAATCAATTACACAAGGTGACAATGCAAAACATGCTTTATAAATAAAAAAATGCAAGTTCTATGTTTTCAAGGATTTTCTATGCATCAATCTTTTGGCTACCGTATTTCAATATCCCTAGAGTGTATACAAATTGTTGATATATCCCTAGAGTGTATAAAAATTGTTGATACAAAGTGTGTTTCTGTTTATATATCTTCCAAGAGTGTATTATACATATTTTTGCAAAATCGAAATGATTTTCAGCGATATTATATCACACTTACCACTCATTTGAAGTATATGATGTCAATTCATGGATAACAACTTCCACATCTGTATGGCAGCTCTATAAACTACACCTCTATGATGCTTCTAAAAAAAATAAAAAAAAAAAAATGATTTAGAGTCAATATTCTAATTATCATTTCATATGAATCATATAAACGTTGTTATTAATGCACTTATTGAAGTGTATTAGCTTTGGTCATACTTGAACTTGAACTGTAAGAAATCACATGCATACATGTAGTTTCAGAACCATATCATTTATAGTTGGTTTTTAGCTGAAATATTTAAATCGGCATACAGTTGTTTTCTATATACAACTTATGAATTGATATGCACTACTCAAGTATTTATCATACATTACAGGTGTTTATATATAAACATGATTATACATCAGATAGGATAATCAACACTCTAACACATTGAGAAAAATAAGAAAAATCGAGGGTTTAAGCGAAAATCGAGGTATAATCCACGATGCAGTTGATACTAGAGAAAATCGAGGGTTTAACCGAAAAGGAAAGTATAGTCAACCAGCACGGAGTGCGGGTCAGCTTTATCGGGAATCTCAAGCTCGTTAGCGAGCCCGTGAAGTTGGCTGCCGAACGGGCCATGCGGGCTACCGAAAGAAACTCGCGGGCCGTGCTCTCGATTTGCATAGCTTACACTTCCACGGATGAGATTGTACGTTTGGTCAAGAAAGTTTGTATCGAGAAAAAATGGGTCGGGGAGTGTTGTGATGTTGTTGACGTGGCGGATGTCGATAGGGGGATGTATATGGCGGGTGCTCCCGATGTGGACGTTTTGGTCCGGTCATCGGGCGAGACCCGGCTGAGCAATTTTCTCCTGTGGCATAGCGCATGTGCCTTATTGTACTCCCCACAGGCGCTCTGGCCGAAAATCGGGTTCCGGCACCTGGTCAGGGCGGTTTTGGATTTCCTGAGGAGTTTTGCGTACTTGGAAAAGAGACGAGAAGTAAGTTAGGATTTTTAGAGGGATAAAACTTATGATTTAGAATATCGAAGTCATTTTGTTGCAACTTTAAGACCGCCCCAATTACTTTAGCAATTACGTGGAATTTTTATGGATACATCAAGTCTTAGTTGGACGTTTTCTTAAATTGGTGGACCAATTTGCAAAGAAAAGAAAGTTATGATATAATTTGTCAAACTCTTAATGTCAGTGATTAAAATGCAAATTTGTTAAAAGTCGTGGGATTATAAAAACTAAGTCCAAGAACTTAAGAGTTTGAAATGGAGAAATAAGAAACTCTGCATGAAAACCAACTTTGGATACTTAATTGTCATGACAACAGCCTCTGAATAGTCATTTGGCATTATCTAATCCTTTTATGCTTTCCCATTTAACATCTAGACTACCTCGGATGATATCTCTACAAATGATGTAAACAATTTCAATCATAAACAAAAATATCTAAGTTGATCGAGCGAGACAAAGTTATGTAAAAAGTTATACATGTAGAAAATAGAGCAATTACTTATCTACACAAACTTTCTGCCAAAGCACGCACTTCAGCTAACTCAAAAGGTGGAAGTAAAAGATCTGTGCCTTCAAACTCCATAAACCAACAGAATCAAACGCCAAACCCACATGAATCGACCAACATAAGCTTCTAACATAAGAGTTACTTAATACACCACAGAAGAAAAAGAAAACAGAAGCAAGCCAGATAACTCTCCATATATTCATATATTCACGATAAATGCAATAAGGAACCTCTATCTTAAATAATGTATTAAAATTGCACAATGGAAAATGTCAACAAATAGCCTAACAGGAACAAAAAAAAAAAAAATTGTACAATTTTACACAAACACAGCATCATAGAAGGACCAAGATATTACAAAACAAAATAATAAATAAGCATAGCAACAGGGAAAACACCAACCATCAACAACAAATTAAGTTACTTACCAGCGAAGAGGCAACATGCACAGACAAATTAAAGTGGATAAAAGTACACAGCAATTGCCGAAAGCCTGAATCGACTTACCTATAATTTTTATAATTGGTCAGAGAAGGAAAATGGATCCTATAGTGTGAGAACAGAAACACTATGGAAAACGCAAAGCCCCGCGCGAGCGTCCCCCAGATTTTGACCCAGGAACCGAAGAATGCCAACGGCCGAGAAAAGTAAAGCAAATACCAATTATTCTGGGAAGGAAAACAAATTTTTGCCTTGTTAACAATTTTTGTTGATGTACAGATATTATGACTATTGCATACAGGAATTTTAACAGGAATTATATGTCCTTACCTGCAAGAAGATCTTGTCTATGTAGTGTAGATATATGTCTGTGTTCTTGTGTTTATAAGTTACTTAGATGTAAATACTCACATCACATGGTTTGCATTTACTCAAATTTAGTGAATTGTCTTGTTATATCTGAAACCATCAACAAGATAAACTATGGATCACAACAAATCCATTTCCAATTCTTATATTTCCCTCAAGCAAACAGAAACTCAATAAAGACCAAACATTTCATATTTATGTATAGCTCCTTCGACATCTACAGAAACACATTTCGCTACACCTTTCGGGACTCAGAGCTTGATCTTTATGAACAAGGGCATGGGAAAGGAATTCGAGTCTGATATTAGGAAGAAATATGAAATTAATCATATATCGGTGGAGGAGGTGGAGTCGAGTAATAAATCATGAGTTGGATTTATCGATGGCTAGTGAAAGAAAATACAATAAGATTTCTGGTTATTTTTTTATGTCAGTCGAGCGAAAGGACGAAACTCGATGATGAAGAGAGAAAGCAGCGGCTTGTGCAAACGAGTGATGAAGATTTAAGGCAATCTGAGACAAGAATGAAACATAAACACCTTGTGTGAATGAAGGATACATGTGTTGATGACGATCTTAGAAGTTCTTATGGATCTCAAAAAAGTACATACTTTCAAGGGCGAGATGTCTGCTAAAAACCGAGAGTCGGTAAAAATCTAGCTAACATCGCACGAGAGAGGATAAATATAAGATTTTTCTAAAGTATAAGAAAGTCCAGAGATGGATATTACAAAGACTAACAACTTGACCAGTAAAAATCGAGACACCAAGTAAGTCACCTGGGAGAATCGAGTGGGACATCTCAAAAACTTGACCAGTAAAAATAGCAAGTCAATGTTATGAAGGGAATCAGATGAAACAAGATAATAAATTGAATTTAGCCTACGGCTCAACTGCAGATTCCAATTCCAAACTGATATTGTCAAGAGAATTAATTCCAGAAATGAGAAATGACTTCATTATCAGGCAAAACTAAAAATTCCGGTTCAATATCCATGGACAAAAGAAATGAAAATAAATCAGAAGCACCAATGAGACATTTGTCTTATTTACTTTAGACAGGTGTGTAGTCTTCAGACGCAATTGTGTCTTAGAGAAATACAAAGCACATTATTACGGTGACTTTGTTGACCAGCTAAGGATTGAAATCTCAACTTCTGAAATCCAAACAAACTAGAGAAACTAAAATTGTACTCGAGGAGCATGATATAAAACACTCTAGTCAACTTCTGAAATCCAAAGGGAAAAACTCACATTGTCATTTAGGCATACTGAAGATCATGTCTCAGAGTTGAACATTATTCAAAAGCCACAATCAAAAATAAAAATCGAAATCTAGCAAGGCTATACCTGAGAAACATCTCAAGGGTGAAGTAGAAACATCTCAAGGGATTTTAAACCCTGAATGCACCTCCATGCCATGGCATTGGTCGGGATCGACAGACGAACATCATGGTAAAACCAAAATATCGCTCTAAGTCGACTCCGAAGATCAACCACGTCTAGCCCCTTCATGACACCAAACTCATCTTGATTAGCTGGCACCAGTCCCGGAGGTGGGTTATCACCGACTTGATAACCCCCCACGTCAATGTTGACCCCTTCGACGTGCGGTGGCTGCACCCATGGATGGCCGGGGAACAACTTTGGAAGACTTGCGAAAGGCTCAAGCAAGCCTTTTTCCTTGATAAATTGATTTCTACTTCTTGCCGACATCACTTGAATCAATGCTTCCCACCTCCGATTATACAAATTTTGGTTCTGCTGGATATTCTGAAGCATCAATAACATATCGGGGTGGAGTGTTGCCATTTCGTTTGCTCTTGTTAGAACTTGATGATATCTCAGTTCCCTTGCTGCAGCATTGTGTGGAACCTTTTTCACCAAAATTCTTCTCCTTCGATCCTCAGCCACGATTTGGTGGTCATGGAGAATTGGGAATTGATATGCGTGATTGGGATGGGGATTCCGATCGGCGGAGAGGAGTTAGGGTTTCAAGGGTTTTCAGGAGATGGTGAAGGGTTAATGTTAGCCCCGATGGAAGTGGAGACTTGGACTGGGCCTGAATTAATTAATTAATGGGCCAGCTAGTTTTGATTGGAGAGTTGATTTGATCACAAGAGCCCAAGTCTACTTTGTTACATTTTTTTTATTTTAGATTGTTTTATGATGTAGTTAAAAGAGAAAATTGCACACTCTACAATATATTTCAGTTTTAATTACATAAATGAAATCTCATTACACATATTAGCAAATATACAAGATCTAACCTTTATAATTGTAAAATTACCAAATAATTAAGTCACCGTAATTAAAGGTGACTTATCACCTTCCAAATTTAATGAGATTCATTTTTCATCTCACGCGATCTCTCTCTTTCTCTCTTCTTCTTCTTCTTCTTCTTCTTCTTCTTCTTCTTCTTTTTTCGGTACAATTTTTCTTCTTCTTCTTACCAATGCTATGCGTCACCGCTTCTTTTTTCGGTACAATTTTTCTTCTTCTTCTTCTTACCAATGCTATGCGTCGCCGGAAAGGATTAACATCGGGCTCAAACCCACAATTTCGACTCAAGTTACAGGCCCAACTATACATGTGGCTAAATAAATTTTCTCTTCAACTCCAAGACATAAGAAACCTATTTCAATTCCTGCGTTTCAACTATCTTGAAGCGATCAATTCCAAAATACCATGAAGGCTCTCAATCAGGTGCTTCCTTTATTAATTTCATAATTTAATCGCTCAAATTTCGACACGAATGCATTTTCGTGTTTAGTTAATAGCAAGTGAGATTTTTCATTTTAACTTTCCCGAATTTTATCTCATCAAGAAGTGACATCTGGTTCGGCTTCATTATTATTGTGCGTTGATTATTATCGTTCGAGATGTATTATGAGGATCAATTGGCTGAGATGGACGCAGGTTGGCTCTATTGAAGGAGGGCTCAGAGATCCCGCGATCAAATCGACAAAAAGAAAAAGAGAAGAAAAAACTAAAGAGAAGAGAACGTGGTGGTCTGTGGTGGTGGTCGGGTCATTGTGGCTGACAATTGGAGGCCGCGGGGATCATGTCGTGGTGGCTATGACGGTCGTTGGATATGATTTTTGGCCGAACATGGCCGAATGTTTTTTTGTATATCATCTGTATATATTTTGTATATAATGACAACATTGATTTGTCTTCTCAATATCTGTTATGTATTTTCTTTTATGTCGACCATATACAATGAGTATATCTTCTGTATATGTTCCCGACAAATATATTGTTTTTGAGTATATGTTAAGGTTGACAGGAGTACGATTTCAACTTGTTTTATATACTGTTAATATACATAACTTTATCTGATTGTCGTCTACAATTTGCTGTTTTTTTGTTGTTTTGGTATAATAGAAGATTATTGCAACATATGCTGAATATATACTAACTAAAAACACATAGTTTAATGTATACATATACTGAATATAGCGTTTAATATACACTATTAACATGATGAGATTTAAAAATTAAAAAGAAATTGTTGAAATATACGCGTGTTGGGCGAAATAGGTTTTCAATATCATGGGAATTGTGTATAAAAAGTCATTTATAATTCAAATTCATAATCTTTTATATTTGTATTGAACAAAATCCTAATTAATAGGAGAGATTGACTTATCATGTGTATATATGCAAGGAGAGAGAGAGAGGCATTGGATGTGGCCTCCACAAATCAAGGAGCCGTTCACATTTCAGTTTGGTAACTGAATCTTAGCATTTTTTTCAATTAATTGCCATGTAGTTGGTACAAATGCAATAACATATTTGTCCATGATATATTTACAATTATTTCCAAACCGTTAAGTAAAAATAAAATTTTCCCTAGTTAAAATTGTAGTGATCTCGGCCCTGAATGGCTATATTGGTGCGGTGTATCTTCGATAACCCAAGATGATACAATATTCTCTCGGTGTTGTGACCCGAAAATTATGTTGACATAATAATTATCAATAATTAATTAGTTCTCATTTATAAAATAATTAAATAATTGAAGAAAAAATCATTGGTCAATCATGTGTATTTATACTAATGCAAATAAAATATTATACATTATATGTATGTATATAACATTTAAAATTATGAATTATATTATGAGTATATCTCATTTTAAAATCTTGACCATTAGTAAAGATGAGCTATATAAATATAAATCGTATAACTTACATATGAATCACTGTATGTACAAAATGAATTTCAATAAATAAATAGTTTTTATAATTTTGAGAGATCATTAATAATAAATTAGTTGTAATTCTTCTTCTTCTTCTTTTTCTTCTTCTTCTTCTATGTGATTTTATGGAATTTTGGTTATGTTTTACAGCCCAAGTGTCAAAGAATGTCAATCCTCCGATCGGCATAACGAAGCCATTTTGGTCTCTTCCCGAAACTTCCTGCGAAAGATTGACGATCTCCCAAAGAATGGGATGGGCCATTCAATTTGGGTTGTATTTGTGTAAATAGCCAATTTGTAATTGTGATTTTTGGGCTAGGCCATACATTTTTTTTTTGACTTAAATAAGAATTTTGGGTTGCACTTGTGTTTCCTGCAGATGTATTAATTGCCAAAAATATCTTCCTAAACAGAGTTGGACTATTCTATTGTCAGATCATCTTATTAGCCTCGTATACACTTAACATCTTCATGTCTACATGAAATGGATGTCAAGTGTCCCTAATGAAAAAATAAATAAAAAAATAGAAAATTACATTGTGTATCTATCCATAAGGAATTCAGCTGCAAGAGGTCGGCCCAGAGGACTCACCGGGCCCGGCAGGCCTTGGTGAGATTCGGGCCGAGATAGTGGGCTTGGGGAGGATGTAAGTCCGGTTCGTGACACCAGAGAGCTCGTGGGCCAAGGAAGGGGCCCAGGAGAAGTTGAGGAAGCTGGTGGAGGCTAGGGGCGTTGGGATGGCGTAAATTGTGGGCCACTTGTACGTGCGGGCCAATAATGGGTTGGGCCTTGTCAAGAAAATGGCAATAAATTTCGGGTTCAATTTCTTGAGGATCAAACCAGTAGGGCGCTTGAATATGTTTTTGAGGTGCATTATGCTTCAACATGGTGTACCATATAGATTTGTGATGGTGTTTGATTTTTTTTTTCTTATATGTGTTTTATTAATATAATAATTTATCAATTTTTATTTTTATTTTTATTTATTTATTTATTTATTTATTTTGGGAAATGGTGTGGCTGATTATTATAAATTTATTTAAGAAATTATGCCATCGTGGATGACGAGTGTGGCCAGCATATATATATATAATTTCAGTATATAATTTCAGTCATCTATACTTATATTAAAAGGTATCTCATTTATCAGATTTAGTATAAAAAAAAGTCACAAGTAATTAATGTTTGATGGAAATAGAATGACATTAATTACAATTTTTTTTTGTATTTATAGCTTGACATTAAAGATTTGTTATGGATATAATCATAACTGATTTTTTTACCTTTGCTGGAAAAGTCAAATGTAAGTATAGATTTGTTTTATTCCATAACATCGGTTTAGTTAAAATAATCTCATAAAATCGGTTTTAATGTCAAGCCTATAAATAAAGATTTATTCGATTTTAATAATTGCATCGAATTTCAAAGCTGTTATTTATTGTAAAAAAATTAAATTCTAAAAAAACATTTGTGTATATTTTGTAAAATGTTTGTACAAAATGTTTTACTTTAAATTTACTTACATAATTTAAATTAATTACATTAATAAATAATATGAACATACATTAAATATTTTAATTACATAAAACAAAAAGAAGAAGAACATTACATCTATAACTGACATTCATCATATTTTCATGCATTATGAGTGATATATTGTGATATTTGGCGATGGTTATCGTGTGATTGTGCACCATTTCGTTTTATTTATTAATCTATGATAGAGGTGTCTTTGTAGTTGATTTTGCAGGAAATATGCCCGGAAATGCGTTGGAAATGGAATCGGGACGAAAAACGGCGAAAACAGGTGCAGAAGAGGCCACACGACTCGTGTGGGTAGTGACACGGGTCGTGTGGGTTGAGGAAATTAGAGGCGCAGATATGGCTTTTTCACACGAGTCGTGTGGTTGAGACACGGGTCGTGTGGCCTCACACGACTCGTGTGACCCGGTCGTGTGAGTGGTCGTGTGAGTCTGGAAGTTTGCCGAAACGTTGAGAAAAGTCACACGACTCGTGTGGCATGTGACACGACTCGTGTGACGCGCAGATTAGTTCAGCGGGGAATAGGATTCTTGTGCGATTTCTTCCCTTTTTCGACCCAGAATGACCCTACAATATAAAAGAGGTCTTAGGAACTCGTTTTTGGGACTTTTTGACACCATTGGAGGCCTAGAGAAAGCACGAAACACACAAGGGATTCGAGGAAGTCAAGATTGAAGATTCGGGAACTAACGGCGATAATAGTTCTTCTTTCTTTTCTCTTTTTCTTCTTCATTGAACTCATGAATATATTTATTTTGAGTTTTGAGAATATGTTTAGTAGCTAAACCTTTTAGGGATTCTAGGATTTGCAAGTACTCAGATTATTTTATGAAGTGATTTTATTTATTCATTCCGGTTTATCATTCGTTTATCAATTTCTTGTGCTTTTATTAATTGTGTGAATATAAGGGTCCGTATTTATGCATATTTGTGATTGACTTGAGACCGAGAGGAGATAGTTGATTGCTAGAATTGAGAAATTCATAACGTAAGAAACTAAACAGACCGAGAGGTTGATAGAATCTTGCGAGGGAACTAGAATCTTAAGAGTTTATGGGAGTTGATTGTTCATCTTGAGACCGAGAGGAGATAGATAACAATTAATATCTACGATTTAATTTGTTCGAGAGAAAGGTGTAAATTACTTTAGCGATTATCCCTACGAATGGTAGAATTAAATAAGGTTTGAATGAATAATTAATCTTTGCTAGAATAATCCCGAGGAAAGCATAGCCTAGAATCTATTTTCTCATTCTTGATTTATCTTAAAACAAGCCTTCATTAGTGTTAGAATTTATTTTGCAATCATTCATTAGTTTAGAATAAAATCACCATTTAAATTTGCATTAGACTGAATAATATTTAACCGTTTACATTTTGATACTTAGTTATTTTGACAACAATCTCTGTGGAATACGACCTTGCTCGCCACTCACTATAGCTATACCGTACACTTGCGGGTAGTGAAAATATTTCGCGAACAATAACTTATAGTAATAATGACATTATACTACAATAAATTTTATAATGAGATAATATAAGTATTATACGAGCAACAAGATTACGTAAAATTGTTATTTTTCTTATATCAATGAATAAATATATATAATGAAATCAAATTTGTATTATTATAGACATGTGAACGGGATAATATATTAATTAATTTACGGGCTAGCGCTACTAGACTCAGGTTTAATGTTCCGACAAAAAAAATGACGTTGATGAAAAGATGTAAAAAGATAAATGATCAAACTCTATATTTTTTAGGCCTGAACGGACAAGCTCTATGGTCCACTCATTTAATATCTCTCGTGAATCGCTCGTGCTACTTACGGACAAGTTTTGTGGAAATAACTCATTAATACTTATGTCCCGTGTATCGCACGGGCTACGTGCTAGTAATGAATGATAGTGGGCAAATCCAGCTGACTTTTAATTATTTCGGTGGGTCCAGGATGAATTGCAACTCTTTTTTTTTTTTGGGTATAAATAGGATGATTTCAAATTAGCCATACATAAGACTTTGAAAATCTTTAGAACATACATGATAAAATTTGCAATTTTCACAATTTGTAAAATAAACAATAGAGCATCAAAAAAGAGACTAAAATCGATCAATTTTCCTTCAGTTTTGACCAGTTTTATTTTATTTTATTTTTTTTATTTTTTTTTTGTTGCTTATGATGATTAAAATCTCATTTCAGACTAAACAAAAATCGATCAATTACTTTAAATAAGGATTTTGATAAATCACCGTCTTAATTGTAAACTGGAAAAAACAAGAGCAGCTCAAATACTAGATAAAGATAAAGTTGCTGTTGATGAAAGTCAACAAACACGGCTCAGCACGCAAAACACTTAATCGACTATTAATTTTTGTTATTATTTAATTTGTACCCAAGCATAAATTCGATTTTTCCAACTAACAAAATCTTCTAAAGTGGAATATTGTCGGTATCACAAGCAACACCAAGCAAAAGGTTGACTTTGACTTTCCAAGACTTCCTTACAAGTGAACTAATGGTGTTGGTAATTTAGAGTTACATTAACCCTGAAAGTGTACACTTTGGAACAAATATGTTCCAAAAGAAAAGGTGTGTTTTCAAAATTGGGTGAACATTTGGTTAAGTAGGTTCATTAGGGTGCCATATTCTTTTGAAAAATTACATGAGCACATTTGCAAAACCCTTAAATTAAAGTAAGCTTAGAAAAACCTATAAATTTAATCAAATAACCTGTACAAACAAAAATACTTGTAAATAATTAAATAGCAAGGAACCAAAATAATAATAACAATAATATGCATGCACGAGGAAACTTTTTTTTTTTTTTACGAAACTATAAATTCATTAATAACACATATTTACAAACGACTAATCGGTTGAATGAACCAGCTAGATATGAACCAACAATATGCATGCATAAGCAAACTTTTTAATTAATGGAGGTAAATAGCAGCAAGTGATCCCTGTAAACTTTTCTTACTCTTGTACGGTAGTATGTAATAAAATAATATTTCTTCTAAAATAACAAATAACTAGTAGCATTGCAACATGTGTATTACACAGGTTATAATTAATAAATATATACTTCAAATTTAAAAAATAAAAATATTTGTTTGTTTAATTTTTAAATAATTCTTTTAAAATTGCATTATTATTTTTATTTAGACTTATATCAGTCAACCGTAAGATTCACTCGTCTTTAATTATTATAATAAATATTAAAACTCACGTCATGTAATATATTTAGTAGATAGATTTATTTATTTTATAAAATAATATTTTTATTATTTTTTAACTATAATTGATAAACAATATATTTTTTTATAAAGGTTAGATATAATTTATTTTACATATGAAACATGAATATCACATCGGACGTCATTAAAAGACATTTAGTTTGATATATCATATTTGAAAAACTAATAACAGATGAAATATTAATAAATTTTATAATATATTTTAAATTTAATTTAGTTTAGATATGTAATTTTCAAATTTTTAATAAACATGAATAAATATTTATATTTATATGGACTACTTCTAACCACTCAAAATTGGCACATGGAATTATGAACCACAAAAAATAAACACATAAAATTACGAAAAAAAAAATCACATGAAAACAACTTTTTTCAAGTATTGAATCTATTGTTAGGCGACCTAGTCAGAGTGACTTACTTTTTTCTTACAAATTAGCATACTTAATTACAAAATTTTATAATATAAAATTAATATAAATAAAAATATAACATTTAGTATAAATATATATATTTTTGACATTTTTGTTCAAAGAATATAATGAATCGAAATCGCCTAATGGTAGTCGGGTTATGTGTGTTTCAAAATAGAGAAATTTATCCCGCACACCACCAGGAGCAATTTAATTGTACTTATACGAATTGTATTTTTTATTTGCAAGTATGCTAATACCCTACTTTTTATTTGGAATTATACCACACTTTATCCAACACTCTATCTTCCCCTTTTTTCTTTCCGTCAATTCTTCTTCTTCTTCTTCTTCTTTTCATCAATTTGCAGATACTTATAACTTCTCAAATCCAAAACTAAACAGCCCCACTCAAAATTCTTGTCAAAAACAATAAAATTTTGTCACCATTTTCTTATATTCCCATCCCAATTTTGAAGATCTTGACGGTGGACGATGCCTTGGTGGCGGTCAGAGGAGCGATGACCAGTGGGTGAAAGCAGCGCGGACTGACTTCAATCTCCCGAACTGAGGTCGTACAGTGACCAATGGGTGGTCGGAGGTCGTCTTGTGTAGAGACTCAAAAGGCGGATAATCAGAACACTGGCGGTGGTGCGACGCGGTCAATGGGGGTTAAGCCTGATAATGAAATTATGAAAGCCCGCATTTAGGTTTGAAGTAGTAACAAATGCTCAGATCGAACACGTGACGATCGAACCTCAGATCTGGTCGCTGACGAGAGATGACCATGGGCAGAGAGGAAGACAAGCGGGCTGGCGGATTTCGGTCGAGGGCGGCCAAGCCACGTCTGACAACCCGACGCCTGGATCTGGTGTTGTGACAAAACCGGACAACTCTTCGATGTATATAATATATATTGTCAGTATATGTTCTGTATATATTCGGTATATAATGACTATATTTTTTTTATATATATCTTATGTTTGTCTTCTGTATATAATGACTATATATTTAGTTTATTTTCTGTATATAATGCGTTTTTAGTTTTCTTTTATCTTCTATATGTCTTTTGTATATAATAACTATATATTCAGTATATATTATGTATATGATGCATTTTGGTTCTCCTTTATCTGGTGGGACTAGGGCTCGATTTTCCCAATCGAGAGGCAAACCACCTAGAAAGAAAAAAATTAAAGATTGTGAAAAAAGAAACAGAAACAGGGGAAGAAATAGGGAAAGAAGAAAAAAATATTAAAGAGAGAGGAAAGAGAAAAATAACGTGGTGTGTTTAAAGAGAGANCCGTGTTTAACGATAGTGAAAAGAGAAAAAAACGTGATATTGGTAGATATGCAAATTAAATTTGAATGTAGTAAATTTATAGTTATTTAACACTCGAATATGCATGTATGTAAATTCGCCAAAAAGTATTCATAGAGTGGGCCCCATTGTGGCCTTAGACAGCACGAAGGCCCAAAAACCACTCAAAATCAAAACGCAGAAAATATCAGGCGACACGCAATCTTTCTTTCTTCTTTTCTCCAAAACCTGGCGCAATATACGGCCTATTCGGATAAAGTAGGCCCCACCCTGCAAAATTCGTGTCCAAGCACGTGACCCTCACGTGGTCTCACATCCCCAGGCAGTCCTACCCGACGTGGAGTGATTCGATTGGTGCACAATTCGCAACGTGGGTTCGGGGTATTTGTCTGCGTGGCTGCGTTTCATTGGATAGAAGCCCATGCAGTTGGTCCCACAAAACACTAAATTATGGCTATTTACACGTGGCCGATGTCCGTAAGACGTGTGGCGGGTGGGACGAGGAAAATTGAGGTCGCGAGTCAAAAAAAAAAACACATAACTGTAAATATTTTATCCACACAGAGGAAGTGAATTGACTTTGGGGCCCCTGATATGGAATTTATTTGCGGTTGTGCCTTTGTTTCTTGGCAATAAATTTTTTGTTCTGAATTTTATTTTTGTTTTTTATTTACTTCAAGAAAATTAGATCCACATAGAATGTTCTCAAATCGTCGTGGATGGCGAACATTCGTCGACGTAATATCGTTATAAGTAAATTAAATGGAATATGAGTAGGGGTATTACTAAAATTTTCTTGGTTTATTTTATATTTTTCATTTTTTAGCAATTAGATTATTAGGATATTACAATTGTAACGATTTACTAGTTACATATGCTTACATTTTGTCTTTGGTATGTTATATATGCTTATATTTGGCTTCCTCTCCTTAATAGTGTTATATAGCATTTTGTGCTAGCTCGATAAGCTGCATTTTTCGTACTTGTAATGAATAAATCGCTAGCTCAAACTATAAAGGGTGACATATTCTTGCTATGTTATTGACAGGGGCGAAGCCAGAAATTTTGGTTGCTGGGGTCGGGACAAACCCATAATACTAACTTTAAGGTTGCAATAATACAGTACCACACATAATATTGAATAATTCAAAATAGCATTGTAGCAACTGACAAATTATAGCAAAACAAGCTTCCACAATAGTATTGCCGGGGTCTTATTATTTTTTTAATGGGGTCTTACACGGTAAAATTTTGTTACGTACAAGTGGTTCAACGCAAAGCGTCGGTGTCGGACGACCCCAGCCACTGAACGTAGCTTCGCCACTGGTTATTGATTTCCATGTTGATGTTTAGTTGAGTAAGACAATTATCAGGAGTATAAATAAGTATATGCTTAAACTATAAAATAGTATAACTTATTTTCTTTTCATAATAATTGCATGGCGCCAAATCTGAAGCTAATTTGATTCAGAGTATTTATGTTGAAAGCACTCCGATGCTTCATAGGTAATTAGAGTCCAAGCTAGTTTCCATTTGTTCTCTTCTTAGGTTCTCTCGTATACTTAGGGCTTGCTTCTTTACATATTAATTTACTCACATTTATTTATACTCAAAATTTAACCTAACTTTAACTCAATTTTACTATTCTTAATACTGTTTATATAATTTAATAATACAAATCAATCATTTTTACACATCACATCAATTTTTCACTCACATAATTTTAACTATCTATCATTTTCAATCATTTATCTCATACTTTTACATCAAATTAAGTTTAATTATTTTATTTTAAATATTATTTTAATACATTCTTAAAATTTTACTAAAAACTAATCATACCACATTTTCTAAAATTAACTATGATTAACAAAAAAAAAAAAACTCATTTTGAAGGGATGCTTAATAGTTATACATTGGAAGATATTAAACATTTAATCTCACATAAAATTGTGTAGGAATAATAAAATAGGCAACTTTAAATATGATGAATTTATTTAAAAAGCAGTTAGTATTGGTAAATTAACGTTAACATTAATGGCAAATGCGTACTAAAACAATACAAAGTACATAATCGAACAACGATGCGTTACATACAAACAACGAAAATTTTGAATTGTATATATCTTTCATGCTATGATGAGACCATTTGTTGGTGTTGCAACTTCCCTAATAATCATAAAAATAATTTTGAAGTTATTTTTCGTGCTCCATCTTTTTCTCAATGCATTATTGTTTATATTTATTATGACGAAGTTTGATCATTGATGAACAAACACTACCATCTAAAGTGTTTTTTACCATCTAAAGTGTTTTTGATAAAATTAATTAAGAGACTAATTGCAAAATCTAAATACTAAAGCATGCAACATAATGGTCCTATTATAATATGTGAAGAATTAATGTAACATATTATATTATATAAAATTTTATCAAATAAATTCATAATAAATGCCAGATAGGAAAAGCGGCTGGGCTGTGGTCATCGTTAGCGGCGCCGACGCGAACCATCCCGTTTGTAAAATTATATTATCATTTGAACAAAACATTCCACTATTTTGCTAAGTGGTCCTTTGTTTTTATGATAATTACTATTCCTTGATTGACACAAATAACAAATTGCAAGTTTGAATACGACATCAGAACCCACGCGTTCTACTCTCCAGCTGGTCGTTTTATCCAAAACTCATAAATAGTTGAATTAAATAAATTTTATAGTAATAAACTATTTTATATTTTTCAATCAAAATTACACATCCAGACACACTTATTTGAACTAATTGTCAGAATAACACACTTATTTTTTCTCTTTTATTTTTGTGTGCAAAGCAAATATAGTAAAAATAGGTGACTCGATAGTAATAACAATAATACAGTTTATTGCACAAAATTAAGCAAAATAGTGGTGCATTTTTGGGACCATTGCATATGTAGTAGGGGAATTTTCCCATGAGTCATCATATGCATGCATGCAATTATAGCAAAGCACAACCAAAGCTTAATTTTCTTTAGGGGTGTCAATTTTTGTATTTATAAACATGTAATTCATTTAATGGAATAAAATAAGAAATCAAACATGCTATGAAAATAAGTATCCGAACCCATTGTTATTGGTGGAGAAAACCCACATTTGCTTTTAAGGGAATTTTGTTTAAAGGGTTTTTTAAGTAAAGGATTGAGGTAAATTTAGGATTGCATCAATTTTTAAAATTTGCTAGTGAACATCCTTCACGATATACAATGCACAACTTTTTTAATTTAATTGCCAATTTTTTTGTGTTAGGTAATTGTATGTACCATTCTTTAATATATACATCATAATTTTATACGCCAATTCTGATTATTCTTATTCGGGAGTCCATATAAATTTGGAATTTTAGCATGTAGGTTAAGATTTTTAAGATCATAAAATGCATAATTAACTTATAGTATAAATACTTTGAAACTTAATAAAAAAATTGTTTGTTATCAAATTTTCATATATATGATCTAATCACAATTTAACGATATTGATTAGACAATATAATTTTTTCATATATTATAAAAAAATGTATAAACCTACACACACACATATATATATATATATATATATATATATATATATATATATATATATATAGGGTCACGTTCCGGTGAGAATGATCCTTAATGCGAGAAATAGGAATAAATAGTAGCCATTAGATCGGATAATCTAATGACTAAAAAGAAGTCAAAATTATACCTTCATTAAGGACAATGTGGTAATTGTCCACACAAAAACAGTGGGACCCACCCCAAACACCAACTCACATTTACTCACGTGTGACCCAACCTGCCAACACCTCACCTCCTCTCTCCCACATTCCTTCCCTCTCTCACACACCTTCCTGTCACACACACCCCTTCCCGTCACACACACAAAGTAACACACACAAAGTATTTCCGCCGGATTTCAACACTGCGCCGTCGCCTGACTCCCGCCGGCATCGGTACTGACCAACATCCGCAGCCGCCCGTCCGCCATGTGCCGCCTAGCTGCAGGGAGTGGTGAACTATTTCGCCACCGTTTAGCTCGCGACGTCCTCCTCCACCGCACACGCACACCGGCCGCCGCCGTGATCATCTAACCACCGGAAATCGATGCCTCCACTGTCCCGCCTGCCACCTCCATCCAAGTCCGCTACGAGCTCGGCGGTTCAAATGTTCGGAAGAAATCCGCCCAGCTCCGCCGTCATGTCCGGCGTCGTCGGAGAATCCATCGTTTCCGGCGTCTCAGTCTCGATCGATTCGGAGAAGACTCGGAGAAGACCTGGCCGGAGGTGCCTACAAAATACACAATGGACCTGCAAGTTGTTGATTGATTTGGGGATTAGGGTGAAATTTTTTGTTTTTTGAAAATTAGATATTGTTCAAGGACCTATTGCAATTTCATAAATGTTTATTGTTTTTTAATTGTTTTCCTTTTTTGATTAAGGAAGATGGAGATTGAGCATGCTGTGATTAGAGGCTACAGGCGGCGTAATTTTGATAGTTTTTTTCATGCTTTTTAACAATCTATTGAAATAAGGTTTTAATAACAAATTGAAAGCCTTTAATACCACTATATATAATTTATAAAAAAAAGTAATAAATGCATATTTATGATAAGTACAAAATGCACAATATTAAAAATTACATATTAAAAAATTTTGATATGTATTTTTGCGAATTTAATGATAAATAAAGTGAATAATGTTTAAAAAATTTAATATATAAAATATCAAAATAATAAATATAATTTTATAATAATAAATAATAATTTGTTTAAATTATTAAAGTTAATTCAATGTTCAATTATCTTTACTAATTCTAAATTTTAAAAACACATAATTTATACGTGATCATATAAATTAGTGTAATTTATATATCGTCAAATTGCACTTAACATATACCGTTGCACTTTGGAAAACAGTACGTTGCACTTTATCATCACACTCCACATTTTATCATCAGTTTACTTTATACATCATTATGTTGCACTTTATACAATATCGAGTTGCTAATATGTAAAATTTTAATATATAAAAATATCAAAATAATAAATATAATTTTATAATAATAAATAATAATTTATTTAAATTATTTAGGTTAATTCGATGTTCAATTACATTTACCGATTCTAAGTTTCAAAAACACATAATTTATACGTGATCATATAATTTAGTGCACTCTATATATCATCGAATTGCATTTTATAACACATCGCGTTGCACTTTATCATCACACTCCACATTTTATCATCACTTCACTTTATACATTAATATGTTGCACTTTATAAACCATCGAGTTGCACTTTACAGAACAACACGTTGCACTTTAACCCTATCAAATTGCACAATATAAATTGAAACCAACCGAACTTGAATTTTTCAGCCTAAAATAATATAAAAATAATTATTTCGATTATTTGAGATAATTCGGTTACCCGAACAAAATATATTCATTAATTATGTTCATTTCAATTTGACTCGGGATGAGTGTTCAGTTGGTTCGATATGCACGATACAGACCAATATTGTGCACTATAGTGTTGGACGAATTGCACTTTAATAACTGTTGGATTGCATCGTACATTTTATGTCCGTATATATTAATTTTTTTAATCAAACAATAATATAAAAATATTAATTAAAAAAATATAAAATGCTAATAATAAAAATTATGAAAATTTAAATTAAATAACCATACATATATTGTTAAAATTCTTTATCAACATTCTATATTTAATATATTTTTAGTAAAAATATAATTAAGCATCAAGAATATTCTCATAAATTCTTCAAATAAACAAGCAACAAGTCACTATTTTAATTACAGTTTTTAAAAATTGCAAATTAGCCCCTATAGTGTATCTAATTTACATAAAAAAACCCCACAATACACATTCAAAAATCCACAGTCATGACTTTTTTTTCCCGGCCGTCCATCTCCTTCGGCAACCCGCCGGCGTCGATTCGCACATAACACGCAGCCGTCGCCGGACCGCCGTCGCCGTCGCGCGCGTCGCTGCAGTTCGCGGCTTCATAGCGTCGTCACCGTCAGCAGACACGACTCCTCATCTTCCTCCGCAGCCGCCTTGCAAAGCCTTCGTCCGCCGGGTCTCCGCCTCGTCTCTGTCAGTCTGGATTGTTGATTTGATGGTGGCGATTGGGCTGGGTGGCGCGGTGGCTAGGATGGGGAGTCGCGGCGGCTGAGATTGGGATCTGCGACGGCGAGTTGGACGTGCGCGAAGGCCGGTCGGTGACGGTGGTTGGGGATGGAGGCGACGGGCGGTGGTGTGCGCTGTGGTGCCGCCGGTTGTGCGTGCGTGGGTGTATGTGTGTGTGTGTGTGTGTTTGAACTGTGTAAGTCGTGAAAAGAAAACAGATCTTGTGTGTGTAATTGTGTGTGTGAGAGAGTGGAGAGGATGGGTTAGTGGTGGGGGCCCACTTTATTATGTAAAACTGAAATTACAAAAGTGTCCTTTGAGGTGTTCATTTAACCATGAAATGTGCATATATTTACAACTATGCCATTGTATTTTGACCAGAATTATTAATGTTTGACTTCATCATGTTCGTTAATATCATTGATCCAATGATCCAGACGCATTCTTATTTCTCGCATTAAGAGTCATTCTCATATGATCCTTTTTCTATATATATATATATATATATCAAAATTGATAGCAAACAATCAAATTATCAATTATTCATTAAGCTAATGATTTTTCATGCTTAAATTGCTTTAACAAAAATATACCTTTAATTTATTGACATCATATTATGTATACACAATTTGTTTCAAAATCATTCAAATAAACGTTGTGATTATAGAAGATTTTTTGCCAAATTTGTTTATTCGATAGAAATTTCTCTCATTAAAAATAAAAATAAAATTTGTCGATCTCATTGAAAATAAAAATGAAATACTTTTTTTTTTTTAAAAAAAAAATACTGTCCATTTTATCTCACTTTTTTCTCTACTATCCCACTAAGAAAATTAAAAATACATAATAATCACTATTAATTAATTCATATTAATTTTTATATTAAATCATTTTTAATAATTATATTTTAAATATGAGGGCATTTTTGCCACTAGAAAAAAATTCTCACATTGCAACGAAAAATTTTAAGGTAATATATTTTAATGGAAATTCAACAGATATTTCAATGGTATACCTTCTGTTCGAATAATTCCCATGCAGATTCAAAAAAATTATTTCGTGAGAATGAAATTTCTATTGGAATTTCAGATAAATATGATGATTCCAACGGCTATTTTTTCAACGGTTTTTTAATTTAAGTATTTCCATTGGAATTTTATTTATACCCATATTTCAACCTTTTGAATTGAAAAAATCCAACGAAAATTTCATTGAAAAACTCATTCATCAGAATATTTTTGTTGGATTTTGTTTGAATCCATTAGAAAATTTCATTATAAATAATAACATTAAAATATCCGTTGAAATTCTATTGGAATATAATTCACAATATTATAATTTATGTATTATGGAGTAAAGTAGAACAGATAAGATTATTGAACCGTGAATTCAATGTAAAGCACATCACAGACAAAAATAGCGTAGATGAATTTTATCTACAATCTTATCAACTCGCTGTTTTTTGTGGGAAAAAAATTATTATTCTGTGATTACATAACTTTCATGCAGTAAGGTCACATTAAAAAGTCAAAACTATCCAAATTTCGGGCATTGTTTAATAAAATATATAATTTGGTTAAATGAATCTGTAATGTGTGTAATCCACAAGTAAAATCTTATGTCTCAGTAATGACATTTTTTTGGTAGTCAAATGAATTTGACCTGTGAGCAGCTTTTTTAGAAAATCCAAAATTTCACAACATCACTAATATGTAATCCACTACATTATCATAATTTTCATGAAAAAAATCCGCATTAACTGAGAACATTATGTGGATCACATCAACTCCCTTTATAGGAAATGCTATTTATGATTGCAGAAATTTTATTGGTACTAAAAAAGCACGAAATTTTATTACATGAATATGTAATCCTCGCATTATTATAATAACTCAATTATTAGGGACAGTTTTTGCATTGTTGGTAACTTACTCACAGTCTTTTAATTTTGGCAATAAAAAACACGACCTTTCGATTTTTGCACATTAAAGTACACAGGAAAAAAGCCACGTGCAAGAGTGTGTTTGGCTCGTTATCTGACATGGAGGGGAGAAGAACGACATGGAAAAAAATTGAAAAAATAAAAATAACAATAAAAAAACGTCCTAGAAAAATTTTGGGTCTCTTGAAAGCATGATTTACAATATTTGAAAAAAAAAAGATAATAAAAGATTATAAATTTCTAACTTACTCACCCATCTTAAATTTGGAGATCGAACTTCAACTTTTCAAACGTCTCACGGATTGGAGAATTTTAAGCTAAACCCAATAAAATAGCAATAGAGTTCTATAGTATTTTTAAACGTCTGAAATAAAAATACCGACCAAACTCTAATTTTATCTCTATTTTTCTTATTTATAACATGGATATTAATCTCTTCATTTCAAGTCAGATAACGAGTTGGATCCGCAAGCATGCATTGCCCGATCCATTCTACTATTTGATTTGATTTGCGAAAACGAAAAGCTTATAACTTTAATTGTCAAAACTCAAAACAAAAAAATCGAGATTAAATTGGAAATAAAATAATTAGTGAGATTTAATTTTAATTCCAATTTAGCGAATTTTCTCAATTGTGAGTGAGATTCAAGAAACACAAAACAAGTGGCATTCTCGTCAATATCAATAAAATACAATCTTGGGGGCGATTGCGCTAACAAAAGTGAGAAAGCGAGACTCGAAACATGAGATTCGAACCAGGGTTGGTCTAATCTCTGACCATGGTAAAAGTCGTCCCGTCTCTATCCATTTTCTTCCTCCCATATTTTCCACGTCACTCCCTTTTCTTTTTTCCACTTTTTCAAGAAAATACAGAAGCCATTGTACCCAGCGCTTCAGCCGCTTGTACCTTACACCCACCTCGCTGTGCATTAAATCCTCTATCNAAAAAAAAAAAAAAAAAAAAAAATGCTATGTGTACATAATGAATAATGAATGTACATAAAGATGTAAATAACACGAGTGAGATTCATTTAATTTTTTATTTTTAGTAGGTCGTTCTCAATGTGAGTATTACATGAGTATTATGTAAATCTCTATGTACACGTAGCACTTCCAAACAAAAAAAATTCCCCCTCTCTCGACTCATGTACTCTCTCTCTCTAGAAACCAGCCTCCATCTGTATATAACTACAATTCTCACACACACACTCTCTCTCTCACTCACTGTTCGGTGCTCTCTCTCTATCTCTCTCATTCTCTCTTCCGGAGCAAGCGCACCCGCAACGCCTATAGCCGGTGCCGGCGTGGCCGGGATACTCCGATCGCCGGTGAAAGGTTCCGCCTTTCTCATCTTTACAGTATTTTTTAATCTTCTACAGAGAGCCCATTTTGTGAAAAGGTCGTATTTTTTTATCTTTCGCCGGTGCTGACGTGGCAGGGATACCCCGATCGCCGGCGAAAGGTTCCTTCCTCCTTTCTCGTCTTTGGAGTCTTTTTTTTTTTTATCTTGTATTGAGAGCCCATTTTGTTGAAGTTCGTAGTGGAGATTTGAAGCTCGTTTCTTGTTCTTTTATGGCGATTTTGTTGGTACATTTTTTTGTGATGGAGCTAATTTTGAACTCTACTGTTTGTATTTTTTTCTTTCTTATTTTTTGTGATTTGATAGAATTGGAGATTTTGGCTTTGGAGGACAGAGCTTGAGGACTAAAATTCGTCATCGTATTGTTTCGATTTTCGCTTTAAGGTAAGCTGTGATATTGTCCATTCTGAATTTAGTGAATGTTGTGAAAGGCATTGTTGATGTTGTTTGCTCTTTTTAACACTGTGTTCATGTTTGATTGATACCCATATATGCCTTTTCTCTTGACCTCTGTTTGTTTCACTTAAGTTTTCGTATTACTTTTATGTTTTCCTTTTTTGGGTGTGAAGGCATTATAAGATTCAACCACATATTTTTATTTTGACACTTCTGCATCATATGGTTATTTACCTTTCTTATTATGTCGATTGTTAATAATAGTAATTATAATAATGTAAAGAGTTGAGACTAGATTTCATGTTTCACAACTTCATTCCAATTTCGTATTCCAAGTTTGTTTAGATGAATGTCAAGTGTAAATGTATATTAAAAACCAGTCACACAAGTATAATGTATAGTGTATACACATGTCATTCATCTAACGTTGTTGTTGTTCGAGTGTTTTGAATGGATGCAGTTACGAAAGAGGTGTACATGAAATTGCAATATTTTAACAGCACCAAACCGACATTATCTTAACCCGTGCGAAGAATCTATTATGTATTTATTATTAGGTTAAAGAAAGAGTCTATCGTTGATTTTATAATAAAAAGTACGAAGGATTAGATTTACTGCAATGTAGGATCATGATTTTGTTGGATTGTGGTGGGAGTGTAATCTTTTTGGTTTCTCATGTTATAAGCATAAACTTTGCATGCTGAAGTATCTCGTAAGCTTCATAGATACGAAAAGGTGAAAAGGAGGAAGCACGAGATTGTCCTGTCATTTAGTGTGTAATTTAACAGATTATATTAAATTCCACATTCATTAACGTCGTACATTTCTTGTTGCTGCATTATATTCTGTAAAGTTTATTGCTATAGATTTTTTTTTTTTTGTCACGGAATTTTTGGTCGTCGCTAATGATTTCTGAGTTTGTCCAAATGATTATGAAAATATATGCCACTACAAAAAAGTAAGTGTTGAACTATTGTTTTTGCTGCTCTTTTTTACGCATTTTTATGGTTAACGACGGATTAGGTAAATATAATTTTCTAATAAGCAGACATAGGCATTAAATGTCTGTTTGTCAGAGAAAAATGTTGATTCGTCGCTAACATATTCATCTGTCTGAAAAAAAATGGAGATATCAATCGGATAACGACAGAGATCAAATCTCTAATGTCTTTTAACTGTTGGTCGGTTATAAGTTAACTATGGAATGTTCCATCGTTTAGTGTACAACATTTTGTTGCTAATATTGTTTTGGCCACGACGCTCTTCTGCATTTTACCTGTACTTGTACATAAGTTTTATGATGGCTAAATGATCTTCGACATAATTTTCATTACCCCATCTACATTTTTTTTTTCCTTTCAAAATTTCCCCTGTTTTAGCAAAGGTTATTTTTGTTTTATTTTCTTTCTCATGCTCAGCATCATTGAATGTAGGACATGCTGTCGTTTATGTTATTGCCTATGGATTATTCGTTGATTAAATTTTACAGCGGATGTTATATGTACTTACATCGTACGTGTAGTTTTAAGTTTCTCCTGATTTTAACTATACCTATTATTTGCTTTTTAATCTTTTCATGTCGTCTGTCGTTATTTTATCGAGATCATTTTTATGGAAAGATAGTTTCGTAAGTTTATGAAGTTCACGTGGATGTTTAAGACTGCCTCTACACTCGCTAATACTATGAAATTCTTCGACTTTGTTGCTTTACGTGTTTACTCTTCAAAGCCTCTCGCATTTAATGTTTTATCTTAGAAGGAAAAACGTGTTAAATCATTTATGTTTTTCGGCACCTGCATGTTAGAAGCATACTTCTTATTCGGCATTACATGCTCGTTTGCCATAATGTACCGTACCATCCACCCATTTTATAATAACAAATGTATGACTTACATACTCGTTACGTAGGTTTTGTCCTAACAATGGCATCATTATCGAGTGGAAGCTTCTTAGAACCGGCTCTAGACAACATCACCCGAGACGGGTCCCCTTCCCCATACCCCAACCGAATAATCGTAGTTGCAGATACGCTTCCTCTGCACGCTCGAAAGGACCTTGAGTCGAGCGAGTGGCACTTTACGCTCGATGAGGATTCTCTACTCCTTCAGATGAAAGACGGTTTTCATCCCGAAACCGAGGTCCTATATGTCGGGTCCCTAAAGGCCGAGGTTTCGCCAGACGAGCAAGAAATGGTTGCTGAAACGTTACTCGACGAGTTCAAGTGTGTCCCCACTTTTCTCCCACCTGAAATCCAAGAAAAGTACTATCACGGGTTTTGCAAGCAATATTTGTGGCCTCTCTTCCATTACATGCTCCCGATGTGCCTTGACCATGGGGATCGGTTTGACCGCCAGCTGTGGCGGGCTTACGTGTCAGCCAACAAGATTTTTGCCGACAAGATAACCGAGGTCCTCAACCTAGACGAGGATTTCGTTTGGGTTCACGACTATCATCTCATGGTCCTCCCGACTTTCTTGCGTAGACGGTACAATCGGGTTCGAGTCGGTTTTTTCCTCCATAGTCCTTTCCCCTCATCCGAGATCTACCGAACCCTTCCCGTCCGCGACGAGATTCTCAAAGGACTCCTCAATTCCGACCTGATCGGTTTCCACACATTCGATTACGCTCGTCACTTCCTTTCGTCGTGCGGCCGCATGCTTGGCCTTGACTACAAGTCCAAGCGGGGCCACATCGGGCTCGATTACTTTGGCCGCACGGTTTACGTGAAAATCCTCCCCGTCGGGATCCACATGGGCCGGCAGGCGACCGTCCTCAACCTTCCCTCCACGCTCGAGAAAATCGAGGAGATACGGAAAAAGTTCGAGGGCAAAACAGTAATTCTTGGCGTCGACGACATGGATATCTTCAAAGGCATAAGTCTCAAAATGCTCGCGTTCGAGCGTCTCCTCCGTGAGAACCCCGTTTTCCGGGGGAAGGTCATTTTGGTCCAAATCGTGAATCCCGCGCGGAGCTCCGGAAAGGACGTCCGCGAAGCCCAAAACGAGACCTACGCCACCGTAAAAAAAATAAACGAGACGTTCGAAATGAGCTCCGCGGGTTACGAGCCGGTCGTCCTTCTCGACCGATACTCCCCGAGTTACGAGAAAACCGCGTATTACTCGATCGCCGAGTGTTGCGTAGTGAATGCGGTTCGAGACGGGATGAACCTTGTCCCTTACAAATACGTCGCGTCCCGGCAAGGCTCGTCGGTTTTCGAGAACTCCGGCCGGCCGCCGACGAGCGTGCTCGTTGTCTCCGAGTTCATCGGTTGCTCGCCGTCGTTGAGCGGGGCGATTCGGGTCAACCCGTGGGACGTCGAGTCGGTGGCCGAGGCGCTTTGCTCGGCGCTCGTGATGAACGAGGCGGAGAAGCGGATAAGGCACGAGAAACACTTCCGTTTCGTGAGCTCGCACGACGTGGCGTATTGGGCCCGGAGCTTCGTGTGGGACTTGGAGAGGGCGTGTCGGGAGCAGCAAGGGAAGCAATGCTGGGGAATCGGGTTCGGGCTGAGGTTTCGGGTTGTGTCACTTTCGCCAGGCTTTGGGAGGCTGAGTGCGGGCCGGGCCGGGCCCGCGTATGAGAAAGCGGGCCGTAGGGTGATATTCTTGGACTATGATGGGACGGTTGTGTCACAATCGTCGATGGTTAGGTCACCGGATCGCGAGGCGGTGAAAGTCCTCGTCGATTTGTGTAGCGACCCGAGAAATACGGTGTTTATCATTAGCGGGAGGGGACGGGACTCGCTTAGTGAGTGGCTTGCGCCATGTGGCGAGCTGGGATTGGCTGCCGAGCATGGGTATTTTATAAGGTATATTCGATTTTTTTTATTTTTATTTNCTCTTTCTGTTGTTCTCTTGTTCCAGCTACATTAGTGTTTGGCCAAAAAATTGATCTTTATCCTCTGTATCTGTTGTTGTTTGGTTAAAAATTTGATCTTGGACCTCTCTATCTGTTGTTCTTTTGGTAAAAAATATGATCTTTATCCTGTATATCTGTTGTTTTTTTGGTTAGAAATTTGAGCTTGATCCTCTGTATCTGTTGTTCTTTTGGAGAAAATTAGTTGAATGTGGTATCACTAAAGGTGTTTTTTGTAGCTTTTGGATGTTTTCATATTTCAATTTTAAGATAATTTGATTGATAATACTTGAATGTAGAGAGCGATAATGTGGTAAGAAAAAAGAACAAATTAAAGGGAAAAATGATATCTTGACATGAACAAAAATTGGAAGAACCAGTTTCAAATTTTTCATGATGATGCCTTTTGAGAACCAAGTCCTTTGGGTTTTGGTATTTTTTCACAATAACCCCATATTTCCACAAATTTAACATTTTTTAACTAGGGGGTGACGAAAGGCTTGGTGGCCGAGAAGGTGCTGCGCGAAATGGTTGAAAATGGCGGCCCCCCAGATTTCGTTTTGTGCATTGGAGACGATCATTCAGATGAGGATATGTTTGAAAGCATACTGAAAACCATGTCCGGGTCGAACCTACCTGACCCGCCTGAGATCTTTACTTGCACGGTCGGGCAAAAACCGAGCAAGGCTAAGTACTATCTTGACGACACAGCCGATGTTCTCCAGCTGCTTCGGTTTTTAGCTGACTCGGACGACCTGAAATCATCCCCTGAGCTGGCTGATTTTCAGGTTGGCTTTGACGAAGGTGTATTCTGAAATAAAATATAAATTTTGATGAAAAAAAAATATTTATATATATATATGCTAAAGCTGGGAGGATTGTTTTGTTTTGCTGACTAAAGGTGACTAGTTCAAGAAAAAATTATATATTTTAGTGTTAGAGAAGAAGAAGATGAGAAAGAACATGTTTTGGGGTGGAAAAGGGTGTTATTAAGTTTGTTTATTTACAGATGCTGATAATGGCTGGCCTGGTTGGTTATTATATATCATGGAGTCATTGGTTTGTATAGGTAACAACAAATTTCTCATTTGGATGATGTACTGTTTGATTGATGGATTATGTTTTTTTTTTTTTCAAACATTGTAATAAAATTTGAAGTGCTTTTGATTTGGTTAAGGTTGCAATTGATATTTGTTTGCTTTACTCTATTGTTATTCATTGACCAACCAGTCATTTTATGGAGCTGTAAATGTTGTTCCCACTCTGGCTAGCCCAATTTTGTAACGGGCTAGAGATTGTGTGTCGTAGGCCCAAAAAGAAGTTTTGTTTTTGGTCTGGCCCATAAGTCCAATTTTGTTTATTATTATTATTATTATTATTATTATTATTATTATTATTATTTTGCTCCATAAATGCTCGAGTCATTGAAATAGAAGTTTGGAAAACTTCGAGCCTGGCTGATTTTTGACATCCCTTATCGTAGCCAGTAATCAAATTTGAAATCGACTCGTTTATCAATATTAACAAGCTGAATTTGGATTTTAACGAACTTAACTATAAAAAATTTGTATAAAAAATTATTTTCAGAGCCTGGTCGAGCACAGTTGAGCTTGACTCAATAATTAAAAGAGTTCAAATTTTAACGAGTCAAACTCACGAACTACTCCTTCATATAATGACTTTATTAAATAAAAATAAATATTTATATAGTAAAAAAAGGTAAAATATCAAACTTTTTTATTTAAATAAAAAAAAGACAAACAGAGAAAGATGTGCGCAGCGCACACAAGACTAATTACAGCGCGAAGCAGACGATCAATCAATCGGGTCACTCACCTCACAAGAAAATTACTCTGCGCAATTTCTCATTTTCCACTCCTATAAACACTTTGAAGAAACATCATCAACCAGAAATTGTTATTACCAACGCCTTTCTCAAATTTTGCACATCTCATTCAAAGTCGCCATTTTTCCATCTTCTCGAGCTTCGGATCCTAATCTTGGATGCGTCAAACTGTCAAAGTCTCACCTTTTGCAGATCCCATTTAGGAAATATTCCGAAAGAGCTGAGTTTTGGTCGTCCGAGGAAAAAAAAAATCTGTCGGAGTATTTGCTTGCAGCTTGATCTGATAGAAAAGCTATATCGGAGCTTTAATTCGGACCCAATCATGAATCCCTTTTCCTCCGGCACCCGGCTGAGGTTAGTGCTCGGCCGTCGCCGTTACCTCTTGTATTTTTTGGATTGGATGATTGTGTAATGATATCAGTGGATCATGTGCAATTTTCTTCATTTTTTTTCCTTTTTCTCTTTGTATGTTTTGCTAGAATGAGTTTGCGTGAAAAGTTTTGGATTTAACTCTATCAAAGTTCAGTTCTTTTTAATTTATTTTTTGTTGGGTGTTTGATATTCATTTTTATTTAATCTTTGTACCAGCAAATGACTGTCTCACAAAAGGAACAAGCAATATGATATTCGATCTGTGATTTATATTTCGTGAAAGGATGATATATCTTCTGTTCTGAATTAAGTGATACTATTGTAGGCTACTTCTGTTATTGGATTATGAGGTTAAAGGAGGGACTGTTTATACACTTAGAAGTCATTGATGGAGTTACTTCTGATTGGTGAAGAGTTGTACTGTTTTAGAGTACTTGTGTGGTGTATCTAAGTGGAGCGAAATGATGTTATATTAGTCATGAAAAATCTGAAACATGGGATAAGGACTTAAGGAGTAGGTTTAAATTTAATCATGCAAAAGATTGTGAATTTCGAGGAAGGATTTCACGTGATTACGAGGGAGATTGAATTTTCGTGCATTAATCTGTGTCCGACATGTGTTCAAAGAATGTTGGGAAAGAGAATGGATAATTAGGATATCTTTCGTTATTTTGTTTTATACATTTGTCAAAATAAATGAATGAATATCCGGGGTGGATTTAGAAATATGGTTTTGAGAAAATTAGAAAGTTAACTCTAATGGTGAAGCGAAGTTGACTACGTGGATAATTGTTGTCACAGGGAGAACATTTTAGCAAAATCTATTCCATGATCACCGAGTTTAAGAAGTTAAGAAAATAGCTGATCAATGGGGGTCAAGTAATTATCACCCATTTGATATATCTGTTTTTGGCATGAGTTGGATAGCATATCAAAATTCACTTGATGAGTTGGTCAGATATAAATGGCGGTGCCTAATTATATTATTAGGGATGGACTTTCGTATGTCATCGATCTCAAGTGACTCAATTAAGGTGTAGTAGATTTTTCTATCTCTACAGAAGTGTCTCGTGCCTAACCAAATCTTTACATGTTTTTCTTGATAACTTCAATCTTCCTATTTGTCATTGTATAAAATTTATTTTGGTCGCAACAGTTCTTGTGTTAATTATGGATTATAGGTCATGAGTTATTAATAATAAGCTAACTATTTCCTTTCCAGGGACATGATTCGGGCTATTCGTGCTTGCAAAACTGCGGCCGAAGAACGCGCTGTTGTAAGAAAAGAATGTGCCGAAATTCGTGCCGCGATTAGCGAAAACGATCAGTATTATAGGCATCGTAATTTGGCAAAGCTCATGTTCATTCACATGCTCGGTTACCCTACACATTTTGGTCAGATGGAGTGCCTTAAGTTAATTGCCTCACCGGGTTTCCCCGAGAAGAGAATAGGATATCTTGGCCTTATGTTGCTTCTCGATGAAAGACAAGAAGTTCTGATGCTCGTTACCAACTCAATAAAACAGTATCCATTCTGTTCTGAACTTGATTTTCCTATGCATATCAGTTATTTTTTAAATAGAACACATTGCAGTTCATGATACTTATACGGAAGTAAAAGTTCCATTTTGGTCCATTTTATACCCTACTGAAGTCATTGTTTAGGGTGTGATTGAATATGGATTTGATTGTTTTTTTTTTTTTTTGAAAAAAGGTGGTATGGTTAGTTATTAGTGAGAATTTAAGTTTAAATTAAATTTAAATTTAATTTTTATAAGTTTAATATTATTTAAAATAAATTTAAAATAGATTTGATGTAAAAGTAGGAGAAAAATGATTGGAATTGATGATTAGCTGAAATTATGTGAGTGGATGAATATGAATTAAAGTTGATGTGATGTGTAATAATGATTCGTTGATAGTATTTAATTATATTGATAATATTGAAGATAGTGAGGTTGGTTAAAGTTGAGTTAAATTTGCGTTTTTATTTTTTATTTTTTTGGTTAAGTTTATAACCAATCGCCCCCTTAAGGGTGTTTTATTCGCAATAAATACCAACTGCATTCAGACACCTTAACGTGTTCACAGAGATTTAAACCAAACCAATCAGTATATTGTTGGGCTTGCGCTTTGTGCCTTGGGAAATATTTGTTCAGCCGAAATGGCTCGTGATCTTGCTCCAGAAGTTGAAAGATTGCTTCAGTTCAGAGATCCTAATATACGTAAAAAGGTAAGTATAATAAGCTTACAATTGCTGTAAACTGATTGTTTGATGGTATTAGGAAGCTCCATAGGTGTTTTCTTTAAGTGTATCATAGTCATGCATTTTCTCTAGAAAAATAAAAATAAAATCGTCATGGCAATATTTCTTAGTAGTGAAACTTATTTGCGTCTGGTTCATTCATTTCAAAATTTCAGATAATTATTTATGCTTATCAAAGTATCAATTTTTGTTTTCACATACTTTTAGTTTTATTTATGTTTTTAACTTCTAAGTAGCTGTAGGTCACAAATCTGAAACATTTTTTTTTTTCTTTTATGACCCTTCTCTCTATATAATGTAGGCAGCATTATGCACCATAAGGATAATAAGGAAAGTTCCTGACCTGGCAGAGAACTTCATAAATCCTGCAGCTGCCTTACTGAAAGAAAAGCATCATGGAGTATTATTAACAGGAGTCCAGCTTTGTACGGATATTTCGAAAATAAGCATTGAAGCTCTTGAGCATTTCAGAAAGGTTAAATTTTTTTCCCAATGTCTAATCTTTTTATTTCCTAAAGATAGCCTTTTTGAAG